CCAGTGGACGCATTTGCGTACTTTGCGTAAACGACGCTACGCCACTGTGTACAATTGTAAAATAAAATATGTATTATTGCCAATTTCGACATAATATGAGTTCACTTTCAAAAACATTTCAAAAATTATTTTTCCAGACACATTGTCTGTTGATGCCACAGGAGCAGCTCTTACCTCCACTACGATCTGGGGCGCTTTGAGGGGATTGGAAACCTTCAGTCAGATTGTCTATCAGACTGCACAAGGAACAGTAAGACAAGCTACATCATTGTTATGAAAGTTCAGTGAACAAAAATAATATTACAGAATGATACAGAAGTAAGATCAAAGATGTTTCCATTGAATTATAATGATTCAATCTTCCTGAAAATAGGTACAGATGATCTAAAATTATTACTGATTTAAAATAACAAGAATAAAAATCCAACTGTTTGATTGGTTAAAATTACAGTAACTATTGTAACCAAATGTGACATCACCTGGAGCAAGCAAGGTGTATATTCATACAGCAGTGTGTGTATACTGTTATACTGTGGCAGTATTTAAGTTTGGTTCTTGTTAAATATGAAAAGATTGTATTCTTCTGATTTCAGTTCCAAGTGAACAGTACCATGATTGATGATGCACCAAGGTTCTCCCATAGAGGGATCCTACTGGACACTTCCAGACATTTCCTCTCAGTCAACGTCATCAAGGAACATATTGTACGTAGCATTCCTGGTCAATGCCTCTCATACAAATCTCCAGCACCAGGGGCTATTAATATTACTTTTAAAAGAACCTTAATTCTTCATATTATTAATAGGATTCATGTTAAGTTTATTAGTCCGAGAACAAACAGTTTATATGCAATATTACTAATTCCAACATGACTGAATTCCAGCCTTCTATAAACTGTGAACAACGTCAATATTTCAACTGGGTTATATTAGTGAACAATACCCCTAGTAATACGAGTAATTTGTGACATCATAATGGTGGTCCGTACTCGACCATAATGAATATTCTGAAACATTTTGTTGAGTTTTCATGTTCGAATCGTAATATAGACCTCAGAGCAGGTGTAATATCATTAAATACACCCCTTAGGGCTAGGCACAAAGCTTTTGAACCCTTCACTCCCTTTGGTCGTTCGGGGTACAGAAAATGTTTGTGCCCAGCCCTGCGGGGTGTATTCGACAATATTACCCCCGCTTTTTGGTCTATATTTCTTAAATCAAGAATCTTTGAACAACCCTTGTTCACATTATTGATGCCTTTTTAACTATGGTTGTAGGAAGCAATGGCCCAGAACAAATTCAATGTGTTCCACTGGCACATAGTTGATGACAATTCATTCCCGTATGAGAGCCCCCGCTTCCCAGACTTGAGTGCCAAGGTAATCTTTTAGTGAAATACGAGTGTAGAAAATAGTAGTTGCAACATCTGAAGATGATTATTTATGTAATTAAAGGTGCTATGTAAAGTTCAAACCACTTTGGCTTATTACTATATTATTATTATTACTATATTGTAGTCTTGTCCAACATTGTCAAAAAATTATTTCGAAAAATTTCTTTTAGGATAACATTTAAGTCATAGCAAAATAAGCAAGAAATCAATAATTGACTTTACAGAAATATTCAAAACATGATAAATAATACTTTTCAAATCGTCTATGCCAATGCACACAAAAAATGTCTCAATCAATTTTTAAAGTTGTAAATAAGAATTTGATATTTTTAAACTTTGCACGGGGATTTTAAGAGTATTCCACTGACTATTTTTTTCTAGGGTGCGTATGATCCATTCACTCATGTGTACAGCCAGGCTGATATTGCAGACATCATAGAGTTCTCAAGACTGAGGGGTATTAGAGTCATTCCAGAATTCGACACTCCAGGTATTTTTTCGATAGTCAAAATCTGTCCCAATTATGTCACACTTTGGCATGTGCCACATGATATAATAACATGATATCTGACCAGAGGGCGCCCCAGGGGATTGACTAACTGACGAGCTAGCATAGTGTAACAAGCCAGATAAAGAATTTGAAAGAAAGTGCGCTAAACTCAATGCCCCGTGTGGGAATCGAACCTAGGACCCTTGGACCCAAAGTCTTATGCTCTACCGACTGAGCTATAAAGGCTTAAGCCAGTACAGCTGGACTGTAGTAGCAACTTGCTATCAAGGGTCGTTACAGCATGATAATGTGCCACATGATTATACATGATATCTCATACTTGTTGATAAGCCATTTTTAAAACAATATTGGCTAACTCTGTACATGCAATTCAATTCAGATTCAAATGAAGTAAACATACCCCTCAAATAACCCAAAATATCATATTTGTGTATTACAGGCCACACCCAATCCTGGGGTAAAGGGCAGCCAGGTCTTCTTACTCCATGTTACAAAGACTCAAAGACTCCTTCAGGGTCATATGGCCCAATTGACCCCACCAACAATGCCACCTATGATTTCCTTAAAGATCTTCTGACAGAGCTTTTCAAGGTGTTCCCAGACAAGTACATACATCTAGGAGGAGATGAGGTCTCTTTCACATGCTGGTAAGTGCCTATACTGTCTGCATTTTACTTAACACAGTTACTTGCCAGGCCCGTAGCCAGGGGGGGTTCGCAGGGTTCAGGCGAACCCCCCCTGGCCAAAAATTCTTGCAAAATCATGCAGTTTTTCACCATTTTGAGCACTTTTCAAGTGATTTTAGCCATATTTGGGCCAAAATTGTCAAATGTGAACACCCCCTGGAAATTTTTGGAAACTGAACCCCCCTTGGCAAATCCTGGCTACGGGCCTGCTTGCATTCAGACATTAGTGTGTCTCTTGGCTTTGCAGAAATGCTATCATTTTGTAGAGTTGTCTTTTGAAGTATTTTTGAATCTTCCAGTTCCAAAAATAATCCAAAAGTTCTTCAAATTTGACACTTTAAAGATTTTGCATTATACAGATGGACAATCACTTTCCTAGATTGTTGTCCTTTTAACACCATGTGTCACCCCGTAGGATAATTATTATTTGATTGTATTTCTGCAAGATTGTTATCACCCTCTAGTGTACACTCTGTAGGAATACTATCACTCAATTCAAAAATGATTTTTGAAGTGTTGCATCTATCTATCTTGTAGTAAAGAATTTGAAAAATAATGAAAGATGTCTGTCTTGATTTTAATCAGTTCTACACATTTCCAAGTATTAAATTATATTTATAGGGCTAGCAATCCCAATATAGCAACTTTTATGACTAAGATGGGATTTGGGAAAGACTTCTCCAAACTGGAACAATATTATGAACAAAAGTAAGTGTAATTACTTAATATGCCAACATTTTTATTTAATGAATTTGATCATATGAAAACCATTGTTTTGCAAATTAAATTGTTTAATTCCAAAACTACTGACACTGAGATGGACACGGGCAAAAAGTGTTCAGATTAGCAGGTGTTTTTCCCATTTCAAGGTTTCATAAAGTGTGAGTTAATGGGAAATTACAAAATTTTGACAGAGAAAAAGTGAGAAAGAATTAGAAAGCTGATGAGATATACAGGTGCTACTGTACTTGGAATTTTGAAATGTTTAATAGATTTCATCTTAATTAGTTATTAATTGAATTTTGAACAAAGTCATTTGCTTTACAAGAAATTAGATTAGTCTACTTTCTCAAAATTCTTTTTCTACTTAAATAAGCTCATTCAGGTCACATTCAAACACCCATGAAAGCAACATTCCGGATAAAACCATAAAATATTTTTTTGTTGTCAGATGTTAATCTAGTGGATGATGCTGTGTCGGGTTCTGACATTGGATATGTGACAATTTGCTATAATAGACTTATAATCACTTGTTTTAATTCCAGCTTGCTAAACCTAATCGCAGGTTTAAAAACGGGGAATGAGTACATCATCTGGCAGGAAGTCATTGACAATGGCTGTACAGTGAGTTGCTGTTTGATTTTGTGAATATATGTGTTTTTGCCATGTATTTTCATTTGAAATAGATGTCTGCTCCAAAAAGCTTATTCCTTGAAAAAGTTGATGGTTCACTTTTTTGATGTTCTCGTGTCAGTGAGCATGAGATCAAAGTAGAATAAATCTTGATTTTCATCATTGAGAAATTGAAAATACATCATACTGAGCTTTAACACTGGGAATATTCTGTTTTTTATCTCACCACCAGAAGTGGTGACATATTGTTATAGTCTCCAACTTTTTTGTGGACGTTGCTCGGTGGTAATCATTCAGCGTTTTGTGGTTGGCAATTGGTGGTTAGCATCTGTAACAAATGACAGATGATTTCAGCAATTTCAACAAATGAGATCTTTGACAACCCTCACATTTTCATTAATTGCATTCTAGGTGAAACCTGACACAGTGGTTCAAGTGTGGAAAGGTGGTTACCAGGCAGATATGAACAAAGTTACAAAACTTGGCTACCATACAATACTATCCTCCCCATGGTATCTCAACTACATATCATATGGAGCAGATTGGCCAAAGTACTATGCCATTGAACCTTTAGATTTTAATGGTAAGAATATCCTGTTTCCATCCTGTCCTGTATCACTTCAATGATTCAGAGATTTATAAGTTAAAGATGGAATAGCGGTAAATCACACTGAACGAAAACGTTGTTTATCATATAAATCACAATATTCCTTCCTTATAGGTACAGCTGCCCAAGAAGCACTTGTGATTGGTGGAGAGGCTTGTATGTGGGGAGAGTATGTAGATCATATATTATCACAATATTCCTTCCTTATAGGTACAGCTGCTCAAGAAGCACTTGTGATTGGTGGAGAGGCTTGTATGTGGGGAGAGTATGTAGATGATACAAACCTCATTGCAAGAATGTGGTGAGTTAAGCTTTATATAAGGTAGACTTGAATATTGTATCCTTCATATATACATATATCCTTTCACACATGATTTTAAGTAAACAGAACGTGTGTACAGCAAAACTTGTGCAAGTGGAACACCTCTAAAAAGTGTTCCACCTTGGAGGTGTTCACAGTGTTCCACTTGGAAGGTGTTCAATTTACAGAGATTCATAACCATCAACATTAATTGGGACTATGAAGTGTTCAATTTATTGAGGGGTTACAGAGGTGTTCCACTTGACTGGTTCTACTGATTTTTTATTCATATTACAGTACAGAATATACATGTACGAGGGAAGATCCAAAAGTTTCCGGCCTAACATAGTTCTAGTTGATGGATTTTCAAAATGATAGTGTCATTTTTGGCTCACACAGTGAGCCTATGGGATTGACCAGGCGTCCGTCCGTCCGTTGGTCCGTCCGTCCGTTGGTCCGTCCGTCCGTCCGTCAACATTGGCCGCACAAATTAAAACTGCTATTCGAATTGAGTCATTTCCACATTCATTTTATGCATATCCATAATGCCTATTTGACCTATCATCGCCATTTCCCAAGTTCGCCCGGTTTCCAAGAAATTGCGGATTTTGACGTCAAAAAGTCAAATTTTCTGTAAATACTAGACACTTTGTTGAAGTAGAACTTTCAAATAACTTTTTGTAGTTGGTGTATATGCAACTTATGTCCTCTGAAGATTTCAAAGCTCTTGGAATTACGGTTTTTGGTGTTTACTCTATAAAATTTGAAAAAAAGTAGGACTTAGTCATTTTCAGGAAACTTTCTCATGTATAAAGTCAATGGCAGGTTTTGTGATTGACAAGATTCTTAAAGTTTGCCTTATACTTGATCATTTCCTGCAATAAATTACATCATTAACAGATTTAAGCATTCCCTACATATTTCTCATTATATGTCAGCATCAAATTTTTACTGTTTTTGAGATATTTGACGTCAAAAAACAGTAAAAATAAGTTGTTTTTCAACTTGCTTCAATTTGACCAAATTTTTTTTAAAAATCATCTACAAGTTGCCAGAAGTTCAAATCTGACATTAGTTTTAGGATTTGACCTTTACTTGACCGTCAGTGACCTTCGAAAGGTAAAAAAAGTTGATTTTTCAAATTGATTTTTGGATGTAAATTTTGGTCAGCTTAATCACAAAAGACCTTACTGAGCTCTGAATAAGTAAAATTTTCAAGGTCAAAGGTCATCAAACTAGGTCACACAACTATGCTATCTAAGTTTCTCAAAGTTCGAGACTACAGGATTTGACTTTTACTTGACCGTCAGTGACCTTCGAAAGGTAAAAAAAAGTTGATTTTTCAAATTGATTTTTGGATGTAAATTTTGGTCAGCTTAATCACAAAAGACCTTACTGAGCTCTGAATAAGTAAAATTTTCAAGGTCAAAGGTCATCAAACTAGGTCACACAACTATGCTATCTAAGTTTCTCAAAGTTCGAGACTACAAATCCAAATCAATATTTTTGTTTGAAAGTCAGGATATAAATTCCTCTGAAGGTTCCAAACTGTGTGAGCATAGGACTGTGGGTCCTTCATTCAATGTAGTCTCCCTGTACTTCGATGCACTTGGCCCATCTTCTTGGCAGCATCTCAAGTCCAGTTCTGAAGAAATCAGGAGCATGACCCTCTAACCACTGGTTAACAGCTATCTTGACCTCATTATCATCATCAAAGCGTTGTCCTCGTAGAGATTTTTTGAGTTTCCCAAATAGGTGATAGTCACTGGGTGCTTGATCTGGAGAATAGGGTGCGTGCGATAATAATTCCAGATGGCATTCTTCCGCTGCATCACGAGCAACTTGGCTTGTGTGAACAGGTGCATTGTCCTGTTGATGCAAAACTCCAAGACGGACTTTGTGTGGCCTGGTTTCATCAAGTTTAGCTTTTAAAGTACGTGTAACAACCGGGGTCACACTCGCCTAGCCTGACGTTACATAAAATAAGAGATGTTACAAATATACTTGAAATTTCTGTGGTAGCGTATATGTGGCCTTGACTAGGGAGTGTGTTGGTTGTTATGAATTTTAATCTGCTCTACTGACAACTAACTGTCACACCGATCTCAATAATAACATAAAATATGATTTGAATTAAAATATATATATTATGTAACCAACTAAAAGTATGAAATATGTACAATGAGTTTTTACAATGAAACTAAGGTCTTTCAGATGGTATATCAAACAAGATACTGTAAATACCTAACAAAACAGTTTTCAATCTTATTACCAATCTGACTTTATATAATACACACAACTACTACATGTAGATGCTCCACAACACTAGTGCCACCTTTTAACAAATATTCAAACTGATAAAAGTACACACATGGCTATGAATATCTATCTTCCACTAAAACCTTGCAAAATTAGTATGCTACCCTAAGCTGGTAATATTCACAGAACAAAATGAGACATAATTCTAAACATATCTGATTGGAATCAACGATAGCAAATGATGTAGAATCTAAAAGTTTGCGAAACTAGGTCACTTGACTTAGCCGTCTATCTCTGTTCAATACTAACTTCCTTACCCTATTTAACTTGATCTATCTTATCCTAGGCCATTTACTGTTAACAGAATCATATCCTATCCTATCTTAGGACCTTAAGTCCTACATTTAAGACGATTAAAATCCGCACAATATAAAAATGACAATCTCATAAATTCTCCATGTGCGCCTCTTAACGCTTTTATAAGACGTGCTCTGATTGGCTAATCTAAACTAGGCTGAAGTTTTTGGCACCAAATTCAAAAGTTATAAAAAGTTTAAATGACCTTTAAACCTTACAATAAAGTGAAATACAAATATTTACATTAACAGCTATATGATATAATTAAACTGGGCATGAAATACAAAAAGTAACAACCCAGGGTTGTTACACTGCCCCCTCCTTTGAAAAAGAAATCGTCCTCGATTTACGCTTGAACAAAAGTATAAAATGGCTACATAGAGGACTTAATACATATATCATGTGGCACAATACTTATATATGAGCCACAAAGCTCAGTGAAAATTACATAAGACACAATGTCTCAAAACAAAGTAGCAGTATAAAATGTTTTACACAAATGCTGTGTGACATATCAAAAATCAACATACCATCAGATTATATTAAAGTAGCAACTGTACAGGTTAACCTGTACTTTACAGGTACAAAAGATACAAAATATATGCAAAATGCTGGATCACTACATTGTCAAAGATTAACAGTCTCTGAGCTCAGTCTCTGGCTGAATTGTCACTGATGTAGATGTCCTCTTCATAATGTTAATATATGGTACAGCGACAGTTATTAAAGTAAGTTTCATCCCAAAGATGGAAGGCGTGCACTCCTTCCAATACCAGACCAGCTGATAGATCATCGGTCAAAAACGCAATACTGTCTAAGTGTAGATGTCACATACAGGTACAGTATATACACTATGATGATTGATGACATGAGCTGAGAAAGAAGATGATGCACAGATTGATGATCCATATTGTTGAAATTATTCAGCTACATATATTTATATGGGCAGTGTAATCAACATACACTTGCCTTCACATGTTATCACTAATGGTTACGCAATCCAATGGCGAGATAAAGCACATTTTCGGGATTTTCAGCATAATCCACGATGACTTCGATTTAGTAGTTATGTCAGAATGCTAGTCACAGGAACACGTTTAAACGGACAGTTCCTATATATATGTGTAGCTGAAGCACAGTTGTAGCATAAGTGTTTCTTACGTTTATATGAATGGGATCTATCTTTACAGTTCACGTTATAGTCAGGTACATGTAATATACGGTTATCATCAATATTTGATTGTTCATTCTTAGCAGAAGGGGTCCTTTTAATGGCTTTGTTTAAAGCTGGCGGATTCCTCTTTGAATTAACTCTCCCTCTGGTAACATGTTGCACTTTGTCATTGTCATTTTTCATGTGTTTGTAGCTTACTGCAGCATTACATTGCGAAGAATGTTCAGTTTCGATTTCACTGTCAGAAATAACAGGCATTTGTTCCATGGTTTCTTTAATTATGAAATGACTTTCATATTGTAGCCCAGTTGTTAGGGCTTCCTCAATATTCTCAGGGTTTTTAGAGCAGATACTCCAGCTTAAGTCAATATCATTAATTGCATCAATAAATGTTTGCACAGCAATAATATCTCTGTATTGATTGTCCCCAAATGCTCCTCTGGATAAGCGTTTGATATCATGTGCCAGTTCAATGAGGGTTTCACCTGGCAGACGTACCCGGTTTTGCAGCTTCTTAAGGTAGTACTCAAATGTATGCTGTAGAAAATTGTCACAATAGATGGAGATGTTGCGAACAATTTTAGAATAATCCTGTCTATCTACGGAGTCCATAGCACAAAGTACAGAAAGTGCTCTGTCCCTTAAACATGATACGAGATATGCAACTTTTGTATCGTTGTCCCATTTGAGGAATGATGATATGATGTCAAACTGGGTAACATAGTCCTCAAACGAATCAGTGCCATCATATGTGTTTAGTTTAATTGCTGGTTGAATAAGTCCACTTTCACTATTAGAGGCATTTGGAGAAAGATTTATACCCATTGTTGTGCTTTTGATTAAATTGTCTCAAATGTGTACAATGATTGCTAAACTGACTAAGATAGAACTGGGGAAAATACAAGACTTACAATGTTGCAATTACATATGCTAAAAATAAAGAAAAATATACAAATTTCACAAAAAGTACAAAACTGTGGGTCTTGATAGGGCAGAACCTAACAAAATCCCACCGCGCGCTGCCAACCAGTGTAACAACCGGGGTCACACTCGCCTAGCCTGACGTTACATAAAATAAGAGATGTTACAAATATACTTGAAATTTCTGTGGTAGCGTATATGTGGCCTTGACTAGGGAGTGTGTTGGTTGTTATGAATTTTAATCTGCTCTACTGACAACTAACTGTCACACCGATCTCAATAATAACATAAAATATGATTTGAATTAAAATATATATATTATGTAACCAACTAAAAGTATGAAATATGTACAATGAGTTTTTACAATGAAACTAAGGTCTTTCAGATGGTATATCAAACAAGATACTGTAAATACCTAACAAAACAGTTTTCAATCTTATTACCAATCTGACTTTATATAATACACACAACTACTACATGTAGATGCTCCACAACACTAGTGCCACCTTTTAACAAATATTCAAACTGATAAAAGTACACACATGGCTATGAATATCTATCTTCCACTAAAACCTTGCAAAATTAGTATGCTACCCTAAGCTGGTAATATTCACAGAACAAAATGAGACATAATTCTAAACATATCTGATTGGAATCAACGATAGCAAATGATGTAGAATCTAAAAGTTTGCGAAACTAGGTCACTTGACTTAGCCGTCTATCTCTGTTCAATACTAACTTCCTTACCCTATTTAACTTGATCTATCTTATCCTAGGCCATTTACTGTTAACAGAATCATATCCTATCCTATCTTAGGACCTTAAGTCCTACATTTAAGACGATTAAAATCCGCACAATATAAAAATGACAATCTCATAAATTCTCCATGTGCGCCTCTTAACGCTTTTATAAGACGTGCTCTGATTGGCTAATCTAAACTAGGCTGAAGTTTTTGGCACCAAATTCAAAAGTTATAAAAAGTTTAAATGACCTTTAAACCTTACAATAAAGTGAAATACAAATATTTACATTAACAGCTATATGATATAATTAAACTGGGCATGAAATACAAAAAGTAACAACCCAGGGTTGTTACATACGCAACAAAGCAGCATAATATTCTCCATTCATTGTAGTACCTCTTAGAAGGTAGTCTACTAAGATAGGACCTTCACAGTCCCAGAAAATGGTGGCCATCATCTTTTTGTTGGATGGGGTGGTGCGAAACTTCTTTGGGGGTGGGGACCCCATATGTTTCCATTGCATTGACTCATGTTTGGTTGAAGGCTCAAAATGACGCACCCATGTTTCATCACAAGTGACTATTCTCTCCATAAAACCTTGTGGATCAGTGTTATACATGTCCAAAAGCTCTCTTGCAACAGCAACTCGTTTTGTTTTCATGTCCTCTGTGAGCAAACGGGGCACCCATCTTGAGCTTAACTTTTGCATGTGTAAATCTTCAAGAATTATTCTACAAACAGTTCCATATGATAATCCATTTTCTTCTACAAGTTCACGTATAGATTTCCGCCTATCTTCCAATATTGTTCGATGTACAAGATCAACATTTCTATCTGAAGTGACATCTTTAGGTCTTCCAGAACGTGGTGCATCATCAATTGATTCCCGTCCACGTTTAAATTCAGCCACCCAAAATTTTACAGTAGAATAGGAGGGAGCACCTTCCCCATACACATCCTTAAGTCTATCGTAGATTTCCTGCCCTCCATTTTCTTCTTGAAACAGAAACTTTATCACAGCTCTATATTCAGTTTTCTCCATTGTGCAGCCACTGTGACCTGACCTCATTATGAATATTCTCAAAATGAGGCTGTGACCCCTAGAGGTTAATCATATGCATAAATTATGTTCATACATAAGCAACATTTGAACTGTGAAGAATGGTTGCTCTCAGACATCGGGAACTATGTTAGGCCGGAAACTTTTGGATCTTCCCTCGTATATATTAATTTGCAGGCCTCGTGCAGGAGCAGTGGGAGAGAGACTTTGGAGCCCAAAGGAGGTAAATGATAAAAATGCAGCTGCTCCAAGAATAGAAGAACACAGATGCAGAATGCTCAGGTAAAATCACAATACTTTTTATAATTTCAAATAGTTACATAGTATACAACATAATAAAACATTTATATGCTCCACTGTCTACAATTTATAAACTATTTTAAATTTTATGTCTCAATGCACTTAAAGTTTCCTATACATTGTAAATGATTCGATGAAAATCATTGAAACAAAACAGACACATTTTTCTATGAACTTAATGAACAACCTAGTATATTCCTCTTTTAGGAGAGGTCTTAATGTTGAACCAATCAACGGACCCGGCTACTGCAAGTATGAGGCAAGACCCAACAATTAAGATATCCATGATGTACAAACCAAGTGAAGTACATCTCAAGATAACAAGGACAAATATGTGTCATGAAACATAATTGGTTTATTGTGCAAATCCATATGGTATACCTTAGTATATAGATTGAATTTACACTAAGAAGCGTATGTATAAATGTAAGAAATATTGCACGTAAAACCTTTCAAAACAGACGTTTATACAATTTGTGATATTTTTTAAAATTATAAGTGAATAAAGAGTTACATAACATTTTGTATGCATATATAATGTTTTTTAATATATATTATATAATATACATTATATACTTTACATAAATATGTATTATATAATATTCATATTATGTATTATACTTAAATACTCTTACATTCAGTAGTCAAATTGATGAATTGGAGAAACATGTTGGAAAAATAAATATGTTTTATGTTTATATTTTATGTTTTTTTCAATGTGTAATATTTATAGGATATCCTATGATTTTGAGGAATATCATTTTTATCTACGAGGTGATATTGATATCTGCACAAGAGAGCGAAGCGAACAAGTAGATTAATATCACCGAGTAGATTAAAATGATATTCTGATAAAAAATCATAGGATGTTCTTATTATCCTACACTTACAAGGATTGTACTGAATGCATAACATCATTGTAAAATGAATTTCATGCCAAACAGACTGCATTTGGCGGGAAATCAACAATCAATATATCGTCACAATATCCTCCGCATATTGGGTTTTCCGGAGTATATCGTCACGATATCCTCCGCCCGGAGTATATCGTTACGATATCCTCCGGATATTCATTTTTCCTTCATGTTATTATACATTTAGTACACAAAGTGTAGGATAATTATAAATCTCAGTAATGTTAGACTAGTCCATGGTGATGGTCAGCATTCCTTGAAATATGTATTTTGATAAATATTAAAATATATTTTAAAATGTTCTAAGTCATATACCAGTAAATACTGGAAATGCCTGTAAATACAGTTGCTTCAAGTAAATCAATGCTATAGCTAGAAAGTCTGAAGTAGATAAGAAAAATAGTGAAGCTAAAGAAATTACTTGGATAGCATAGGGTGCAAAAGCATTAACAAATGCAACTAAAAGAAAACAATGCATTGACATTCCTTTCTAGAGAAAGATACCATGAAAGGTGTCATGGCCTCACAAAAGTTCAGCAGTTTTCAATGGTGTTTCTAATTTCCACTTTATCTTCATCAATCATATTCATATGTATGGAGTTGATTAAAGTAAATGGATAATTATACATTACATGAAATCAACTGCAATTTTTAAAACTTTTAATATCTAATGATTAAAATGAAGATTATTTCTGTTTAAAATTGGCTGTATTATCTCCACATAGCTAGTTACAGTATGGGTCATTCAAAAATAACCGTTTTACTGCATTAGTCACGCTGTTGTACCAGACAGATCTCTGCCATATTATTTTGACCTAAGCTTTATAATTATCAACACAAGCATTATCTTGTTGCGATAGAAACATATTTTTTATTGAATACAATAAGAGTTGGATAAAATTACATTTTACATTTTGTTGTATGTGTAACAGGGTCATCTTCATATTTTCTAATTCATAGTTTTATACATATTGTAGCTCTATTCAATCTGTCTTTAATACCTTTAATTCTGTGGTTTTCTAGTCCTTCATACATGTTTTATACTGTTCACTTGTTCTATTGTTCAAACCAGTTTTACATTTTTACATTTTCATATTATATCTTGCCATGCTGGGTATTTTGCACTGCCTTGTTTCCATATATGGAATATAATCACATGAGTTGGGGTGTTGGCCCAGCAAGTACACAGGTACACTGTAGTGAGTTCAGTTGGTCAGTTACAGATGAATACTTGAAGTGGATATTTTGGATTATGTAGATATACTGTTTGATTGTTGGATATTGAAATAGAATTTTTAGACATTTTAATCATTTGTTGTTTATTTAATTTGCCGCCCACGGGCCTCCAATCGCCCATCTTACAAATGGTACTGCGGGTGGGGTGAGCATGAGCGACAGTGGGGTAGGCAAAAATAGCAGTGACAGTGGAGTAGGCAATTTGACTGGTGCTTACTAGAATTTAAAAATAGACTGTATGCAATATAAGCAGTGACAGTGAAAAAACAACACGGGCCTCCAATCGCCCATCTTACATATGTAAAAGACCTGAGGTACAAATTACTCCGAATTTTTTTAATTTTGGTTTATTTTAGGATCAAAAAAGGGATCCAGCCCTTTTAATATTGTCAAGTGCAGTCTAGAAAAAGATTCACATTTGTTCATAAAGATGGCAGCTGATTAATGGCAGATGGCAATGATGATTTTGGCAGCAGATAACTGAGTTGTTTGTTTGGTTAAATGAGTGTTTAATGTACTTTAATCTGGCATTGTTTGCTGCCTGATGTCCTTCTAAGCTTGAACGCCGGTGAATGATGTTTGTAACATTTAGTGCAAGCCTCGGTTTTCGATGCCTTCCATTGGTCGTTCAAAGTTTCGCAATTTCACGAGCTGGTGTTGGGTCTTTCTTGTCTGAAAAATTGGTAAATTTCAGAGTAATAATTATATTATATTTGTTACAGAACTAGAATTAGTTTTACAGAACTATAATGATAGTAACGAAACCCGAGAGTGTAAAGAGCACGCTTTTCAATACCACAATCTATATACATTACAGTAAAACCTGTGTATATTGAACACTTTTTGCCGAGAAAAAATGTTCAGTGTTTGTAGGTGTTCACTACAGAGAGGGCCATTTATACAGAAGTTCGTGGAGTATATGCGGAGGGTGTCCACTAGAAAGAGGTGTTCACTAAGACAGGATTTACTGTTTATAATATAGTACTTGTGCTACAGTTTTAGGCCATCATAAAAATCATGCCATTGTGAATGCCATCAGGAACAAGAGGCCAATATAAGGCCGGCTAGCGATAGACTCACGTCCCCGACCAGCACGAAGAACTTCTTACCTTGCACGCAAGAACCAATGAAATAGTAAACGTGACAAGGAACAGGAGTGCCAGAACCACTACCAGCACAATGAAGTTCGTCTGCTGCATGCATACGTTACCAACATTTTTGGACTCTGGAACAGATAGCACAGAATCCATATGAATGCAATGTTAATGCCAATATTTTTACAGAAGACGTTCAATTGAATATTGATTGTTTGATTGATAGTGGCTCAACTGAGCTTACAGCTCATTTCCTTATTATTATGTTATTGGATCAGGCCCATTTTGGGTCATACAGAAGCGGGACTATTATAACTGTGGGACCAACATTACGCTTATACGGAGAATCTAATTCTAGGGAAGGTTTCATTACCTTGATTCGGATCCACCACACGTATGAAGGTAAGCAAGTCCTCTTGGCTCGAGTCACCGCTGTTGTAGGACGATGAACGTCTCAAGCGAGCTTTCCCCGTGCACGTGGCCTAGAAAATCGAAGAAAAAGAGTAGAGACCCGAGAATAGAGAACACAATGGAATAGAACTGCTCATGATTAAGTCTACAGAGTTGGAGAAATTCGTCTAGCTAGCACAGTGGAAGAAAAGACCTACATGGAATGTAGAACTAGCCACGTAACATAATAAACCTCTGCACGTAGTCTATATAATCAAAGAAAACAGTACAATGCAATCTAACTAATTTTTAAATCAAGCATATAACCTACATAATTGAAACAAGATGTGCAAGATGAGAGTCTGGTTCTCAAGAAAGTGATGCTTACCAGTTTACATTGATCTGATCCATCACTTTTGCCACATATTCTCACTGAACAGAAAAACGTTACTCCATTACTAGAGTCTCCTGTTGTCTCACTGTTGCGCACCCTGAACGCTTTGAACTTCGCGATTACCTTATTGGCATCGTTCTTGAAGCCTGGGAAAACATTAGGTATATTTGGACAACTGAAAGTAAAACATACGTAGATGCATAGATATAAATGTATTGCAGATGTTTTGCGAAATATGTTTAGAAAAAAAATACTGTATATTAGGGATAGTGAGTGTTGTGTGACCCTGGTGGAAATATTGAGCCACAAATCAAATATTGAGACAAATCACACAATTTTAATAAACATGAAGTCTTACCCTTTGGTCAAAAGAGATACGGACTTCGCTCCATTTATGGCGTAGCACGTTTCTGGGAAGACATTGAAATCTGGAAAATAAAATTAAAATGCTTCAAAGGCCCGTTTATTTAGGTGAATAATCTCGGGTGCTTATAGTCTGCGCATACCCTCCTGAAATAGCTGTTCAAAAACTGTTGAATTCCCTCACATCCAATCATCCGCCTATTAATATTTTTAGTCTTGGAGCAAGCTTCACCCTATTAAGCCCATGACTCAATCCTAGGCTATCACGCGATTATCATCTCAAGTTCTATGCCTGTCTAGAGATACCAGTGGAGAACAATCCCAGCCATATATCAAGGCGTTATTTTCTGATTTTAAAAGATAAATCCCAGAGAAAAAACAGGCTCCATATGATTTAAGGTAAATTATTTTGATGTTTGTCGAAAATAAAAACAATATTGAAGTAAAATACCTGATGGGTCTGTTACTGTGATTTCAAGGGAAAGTTCAGTGTTAATCGTGACATCTTGGTCATTTACATTTTCTCCTTCTCTCGTGATTATCATCGTGGCATTAGGTTCACCAAGTTTAACATCAACCTTATCAACCTTAGTTGCATTAACCGACCTGTAAAGAAGTACTTAAATTGTATGTCACAGATGTTTTAATATCTTCTAGTCCAATTTTTTGTTATTTTGTGAAGTGATGATTATTCACTGAATTTTCTCATGCTCAAGGCTTAAAAATAAAGAAAAATTAGATTAACTTGTTTGTTACTACAATTTTCTTGTGTTATACATTTTCACATGGCTCTCCATTTTTTCATTGGCCGTTGTTACATTTACTCCTGATAGACGTGACGTTATGTGGGGGAGGTCGAGAATTCAATGTAGTTGTTGAAAAGTAGGCTGATCTTACCCGTCAACTTTGGCGATTTCTGTTGTGACATTCTTCACAATTCCTCCATCTTTGTTAGCCTCAGGTGCAGCACACGATATGTTAAATATAGATGTTTTGGTCCCATCGACAGTTATGAGATCTATGTTATCAACTTCTGTCACTTCAATTTGGAAGGTACTACCCTGAATAAATAATTGCAATAATTCTTCATCAAATTTGAAGTTTCGTTTCTTGATTCATATTTATTGTGATTTATTGTGATTTCTTCCTGAGTGAAAGTCTTCTAAAATTCAAGCATTTCATGCACACAGCTATTACTGATCGCATTTTTGTGTTTATGTTTTAAAAAAATGATGAGGCATGAGCACCGAACTATAGATATTCTTTTTCAAATTTTTCATTCATAAAAGATAAAAAGATTATATCATAAAAATAATTTCGTGGTGTCATATTATTCAGTTGTGCATATCAATATGGATATCTTCGGTCTCACTGTAGCTTGTGAGAAAAAATGCAATCTCTTGAAAAGCATGATATATTTTATCCATTTTCTATTCCATTTGCTATTAATTTTTTTCCTATGTTATTGCTGCCTTGCTTGTTTCCATTTTGATTTATGAAAGTTCACCATAGTTTCTCATTTCTTTTATTCAATAAAATAATATAATAACTAAATATCAAAAACGTTTCTTGCTTCTGGTTGCGTTTATTGATCACTTACCAATTTAGTTCCACAGTCCGGAAATGTTATATCCAATATACCGGTTTCATTCGAAAAACATCCCTTTGTCTTCTGAAAGCTTCCTTTCACATACAATTCTTCATTCTTGGCCTCTTCAAATTGTTTAGATATGTCTATTTTAACACCCTTTGATGTACATTCAACTGAAAAATAAATAGGACTTATGAGCAAAGCAAACAAGTTTTTTCTGTAATATCTTGAATGTAGAATATCCATTGCACATTTTATCACTTTAAAGTTATGGAATAAATTAAATTAAATGGAAATGTAGTTCCAATAACCTAGAATTTTCTCTATATGTATGAACGTTCACGGCATTTACCATGAAGACGACATTAACACGTACAAAAAAGTCCCTTTATAGTAGACGGATTTCAATTTTATTTTCCATAAATTAAAATACAAGCCCGCGTGTTTCGGTGAAACGCCAATACGCCAATGAAAGCGTCTACCTACCGCTTAGGATACGGCGACGTGATACACGTACGTGAATTTACACGCAATTCAGGTCAACAATTCCTCGGACTGATTTTTTAATAACAGGAAACTGCTCTAAATCAGACACGAAGAATGTGGAAATTTCACCTCTTTGAAAAATAAGGCAATGGCCACAGAATTTCCCATTAAAATGACTCTAACGTGACAAACTTTGATCAGTGTACACAAAATATGGATTTAAAAATGTGTCATTTTTCTATGTTCATTTTACTAAAATGAATATCATTGTATATTAGAATAGAAATATCCTAAAGCTGGTAAAATGATCTGGTAATACAAGAGGTTTTCAATTACTGCAAGTTGTTGTCCTTACCGTCTGTTTCCTTGACATTCAGCTCTTGTGCGTTGCTCCTAGCAACCAACACCAAAAAGAAAAACTGGAATCAATAAAAGTTTGCAAAGATTTCAGTTTTGAACTTCGTTCTTACATGGTATATTTCTAGGACTACAATGAGAGCTATAGTATATTACCCCGCACAAGTTTTTGCAAATGCTTTGTTGTAACAGAGAAAAAAAAAACAAAGAGGAAAACAGATCATAAAATTTTGCAAACTAAATTTTCTTATAATTTCTGACGCCCCTCTTTCTAATATAAAACATGCAAAAGCAAAAAAAATTGAGTTTCGATGCGCTTTTTGTTAATCATCTGGTACACGTAACAGTCCAGCCATAAAAGTTCTATTCGCAGTTTTATGTGTCAAAAATCGTTTAGCAGTTCGAATGATTGTCTAAATATGATAAGTTGACTGAGTAGAAAACTCTCCATTCACTTTTTTCTCAAAAATATAAGTTATAAAATGCATTTCGAAGAATGGTTATACAATATAAAGTAACTGAACAGTACCTGGATCAAAATATTTGATTTTGACATCATGGTTAATGTTCCAATGGTTTCGAGAGCCTAACGTTATAAATAATTAATGATAATGACCCGTCGGCTTTATACTCATCTACGTCCCTTATCTTCATAATCCCTTCAACGGAGACAGCGTTTGGGCAACCACTTCTTAAAACTTATCAGACTCACTTGTCACTGCGTTGGAATTTTGATATTAATTCAATTTCTAAGAAATGAACGAAGATCAAAATCTTTATCAGTTTGTGCGAGTCGAGATTCGACAAGGGTCTGCCCGAGTCAATGGTGTTGCTAGGGGGTTGCTAAGTTGTTGTTTTTTTTATCTAAGTTACCAATTTGGTAAACTTATAAATAATGGAGAAAGGCAGACGGGGAACTGCCTTGCAACACTTTTTAAAGTTTTTGGACTAAAGTTGATAAATAATGTATTTTTGTGGACGCTTATCTTTCAGTTTCTCTTATTATGACAATTTCTTTTTCTTTGAGCTATATAAATATCTATTATTCAATAGACGGCCATCTCAATTCAGTGATTTTATTTTTTTTAAATACTGTCAGTCACACCATTATATTTATATTTTCTGGTTGCTACATTCAAGATATTATGAAATAACAGATAGCCTACGTGTTCCTGTTTAATATGATGAGCTGAAAATTGCATTATCAATAGACTTTGTTACTAAACTTTTTTCAAGTTTCACAACCTAGAGCTAAAACATTGCACGAAAAGTAAAATAAACGAATCGCCCTTAAAAAGTTATAAAGATACACGCGTCCCTTTTAATTTTGTCTGTTGATGTGCAAGTAACTCATTCCATCAAAGTTTCATCTAATTCTAAAGTTCTATGTATTTAAAAAACTGGACGAGAACTTATCTGATGAGACATCCATGAATTAAATCATGCATTGTCTTTACAAAGTACAATTTGATTGTTAAAATATCAGTCATAATACAATCATTACAGAACATTATAGCAATGTCCTACAAAATTACTGCGATAACATTTATAAACTTTGAACGTCATCCAGGCCATAGTGAGAAGTCGAAATATTTTGACGATCAAATCGTTGAAGTAAAGATATGAATTAAAATCAGAATCTATAATGATATGTAAAAAGAAACGATGATTTGGAGGCTTGTGACCCCCCCCACATCAGATATTTGTTGCACCATGCCTCAAGACTGTTGCATTATGTAATTATAAACCATATCACCCCCTATCTGAAATTAGACTAATCTAATGTACAATGTAAAATATATATACAGTTTGAATCATTTTTCTATCTGATGCCAGGTCAAATAAGCCTTTCTCTTATGTATGTTATATCTAAAGCCTTGTTTTTTTATTATCACACATCTTAAAACATCGACCTCAACAGCATATCGCTCATAATGCCATTTACATTTTAACCATTCCGTTTTATTTTTGACTAATAGACTTGGAAGCATGGAGGAATTTAACAATAAAGAACTTATTTGTGAACTGAAGTATACATGAATAACCCAAATATATTTTGTGCAAATAAAAAAAACGTTTCGGGGAAATTCTGTTTTAATTACTTTTCAATTATTATTTCTAATCTGAGAAAATTATATAATTCTTTTGTGCTTATCTTAAATACATTTTCTTTGAAAATCCTATTATATCTATGAAATTTCTTGATTGCCTTATCTCAAATTAAGACCTTATGTGTGACAAGGAAGTATATAAGAAACTGATATCATTGTTTATCGAAATGGGATTGGAGATAGCACATGGGTGCTCAGGGTTTAATTTGAAGTACACAAGTACAATCTTTTGTTGATTTCGTGTAGTGTAATCTCATTTAAGTTCAACAGACATGAGATGGACTTTTATTGCTAAATGACCTTGAAAGGTGTACATAGATATATCAGGGATCGTGTCCTACTATGTGGAAAACAAGCATATGAACAAGACATTAACATGCAAAATGTCACCACCTGCCATTTGTTACTGATGATGCTGAAATCAAACTGTCCTTCACAAAAAGGTTGGCAACTATAACAATACGTCATCCATTGCTGTGGTGAAATAGCAATCATATAATTTAGGTGTTTGGTTTTTGATCACTATCTCAATGTTTCTGGATTTATTTTCATTTTTCAAAAGAAATCCTCATTTAGATTTACCCTCTAAAGAATATCAATTTGGGTTTCCCACAATTTTTGATATTTGGAAAGAATCCACAAGAGAATGAATTATTAGTTATGGATTAATAGTTAAAGTATTGGACAAAATTTACAAGTATAAGATATTACTTTCTTAATTCTTTCCCTATAATACACAGTAACATGAGTACCATTCAGTAAATATTTAGTTAGAGAATTATACAATTTTATTTCCATCAATTACGAACATTGTGATAATTTCACCCCAAATATATTCTCTACATACAGTACTATTATTTATTAATACTGTAGATATATACAATGACTATACACATTGCAGTATGTACATTTAAAAGATGATAATCAGTGCCCCTTTACATATTGTCTCTTTTTTATTGTCTCAGATGCCGAGACCTCACTTTGATTCTCCTAAACTAATATATCATATTTTTCAAATAATGTTTTTATTAGTTTGAAATCACAATACATCCTCTCATCATTATTATGTGTTTTTAGTTTTATTTCAAACTACATTTTTGGATAATTTTGTATATCATATGGTTTTTCTGCATCCCAATATTCATCAATAGGTTGGCTAAAAGCGTCATTTTTCCTAAATGGTGTGTCTTTAGTAGCTGTTTGTGACACTCCCTGAAATAGAAATAAACAGGTTTAATAATCAAAACTACTGTTTTTGAACAGACTAGAATAGTGATTATTAGATTCCTCAAAAAGGCTCTGGGGGAGCATACTCCGGACCCCTAAGATTGCATGGTGATCTTCTGTCCATACTTCATTTTCAAAGAAATTTCAAAAATGCATTTACCTTGAATATATATAATTTACACTAACATAAATTGAGATTACACTAAAGTACACTGGTATTACACTGATGTTAAATACAGCATTACATTTACGTATACTATTAAACTTATGTAAACTGTGTAAAATTATTCTGTGCCATACTCAAACACAATTAGTAACATTCAAAGTGAACATAATTTACTATCTAGCTATATACTTACGTGTATTTTGTTAGCGTGCTCAGACCAGAATGAAACTGGTTGTTCCTTTTTATAGTCATGATTCTGAAAACACAAAAAATCAGATGACATTTTCATTCTCAATCTATGACTGACATGCATCATGTCACATCATTATCATTGATTGGTTGAAAAACATTAACATGATTCCCGTGCCATTTGTTACAAACACCGACTGCCGAATGCCAACTGCAAATAGCCAAACACTGACCACTGAATACAAACGACAAACACCATCAACAAAAAAGTTAGAGACTATAACAATATGTCACAACTTGAGACACAAAAATGAAGGACATTTTCTAGCAATCAAGTAAAATAGTTCATGCTGCACACTCAGGTCTTTCTCTTTTAGTATCAAAATAATGATTTCTTAAAAATTTACAAAACTTTAGTCACTAAAAGCTCAAATTTTGTATTGATGATTCAAAGTGACGGGTGCATACGATGTTGTTTACAAATGTACATTCTCTATTTTAATCGCATAATTATGGTAAGCCTATCAACAAACAATTCTTATTATTATAATGTAACAAATGCTAGATTGTGGCTAAGTAACAAACAGTAAACTTTAATACTTTAATGCGATCACTTGCACATGATAAACACCTTTTCATTTAGAAGGTAGCTTCTATAGGAGACACAAATCTATTGAGATTTGAGTTATGAGGTACTGGAAATTGTGAGGTTTTAGATTGCGGGGGGATCCTTGGCATTGGAAATCATTAAAGATGGCAGACAACCTAAAGTAGAAGTTGACCCTCCTACCTTTTTCAAACAATGGTTAATTTATTTACATTTGAGATTGTGGGATGTTTCATTCAATACATAAAGCTAATAGACAGGTTCCAATTCAAATAATTCAAGTTTTTGAGGCATTTTTTAGAAAAAGCAACAGACCTATTTTTACTAGATCAGTTTTTCATGCTGATAAAGATATTAAAAGATGACAGCTCAACGGGGTGGTCACGACACTAAATTTTGGCATTTTTACCCCCCTAGGAAAATATTCTAGGGGGTACTATGAAACTAGTTCATAACTCAAAGGATATATGAGCTATTGTTCTGAGTTGTACACCATACATTGCTAGTACAAATATGAATACTATCCTAAAGTTATAGGTTGATACCCTTATTGGTCTCAGAAAAATACAAAAAACAGGAAAAAGATACGCAATTTTTGTCTTGCCAATTTTATATTTGTAGCTTCAAGCACAATATGACAGCTTTAACAGCTCATAGTAGTATTCTAAACACATTTTCAAGCTATGTGTGGTATTGTAATACATCTATTATAGTTATGAAGTACTATTTTGTAATTTTAATATGATATTATAGTGCCCTATCCCTGGAAAATTGAAAAAGTGGATGTGGTGAATTTTATCATTTTGCAGCATTAAGTTAGAAACGTGTATTGATAGACACCAAATCAATAAATTCATACCATCATCAAATGTTAGGTGACATTCTAATTCATTTACTACTAGAATATAGGACTTAAGATATTTTATATGCAAGTTTTCAATTTAGTACATGTATCATAATGAAATCTAGTGTAATCACATACTAGAGAGGTTGGCATACAGTCTGGACATTGACATAAAGTCTAAACATTATCATCATCAATTGATCTCATTTGAGCAACTAGACTATGGTGGTTATCATGCACAAGTAATGTACAGTAGAACCTGCTAAGTGGAACACCTCTGTAAGTGGAACACCTCCCAAGTGGAACGCCTTTTCAAAGTCCCGTTTTAAAAACCCATTGACTTAATGTTAATTGAACCTCTGTAAGTGGAACACCTCCAAACTTGAACAGTGAACACCCCATATTGAAAAATTAACCTGCTAAGTGGAACACCTCCAAACTTGAACAGTGAACACCCCATATTGAAAAATTAACCTGCTAAGTGGAACAGTCAATTTCCATAGATTTCAATATTGATATATGTAAACAGAATTAATCTCCTTCAATGATATCTGGGTATGAAAACAGGTAATACTATGATAATTGGCAAATTAGGACTTTAATGGATATTAATGGATTAACCTCCTGTAGAGGTCAACATGTGATGCAACAAATAATTAATTTGATAATCAGCAAATTAGGATTTCATAAGATTATCATTCAGAAAATTGGATTAACCTCCTGTAGAACTGGACACGTGATGCTACCACTAATTAATATCCCTTGCTGTTTGTTTCAAACTTAATAAGTAAGATTAAAAATGTCATTTAAAAACAATTGAATTATTAGCAGTAGGAACAAGTCTTTAAAACTTAATTGCCTAATCTTTGTACCCGAGACTGGCACAATTAAGAGGATTAAGAATGTCAGAAAACATTTTTGGCAGAATGAGGAGGATTAAGAATGTCAGATACCTTTTTGAGTAAAATAAATGGATTATTAATGGTATATACCTGCCCTGTAATGAAGGGAGAATCATATTTCCAATGATACATATAAATCCTATATTTGATCTTGTATGTTCCCTGCGAACCCAAAACCTCCATAAGTGGAACACCTTCTAAGTGGAACGCTTTTTGGCAGAACGGAGAGTGTCCCACTTACACAGGTTCTACTGTATTTACATAATAATGTTATAAAGGAGCATGTAGGTTATCGCAAACAACTTCAGACAATTCTAACTTGAATTATGAATATTTTCTGACCATAAACATGGGTATATCTTTTAGATCCATTCATTATCTTCAAGAAAAGTAAATATAATGATTGAAATCAGACCTAAGTGATATTAAAGGGAATGGCCCAATCAACATACTTTTTACTAAAAATGTTGACCTAATTTTTACCAAAGATGCAACCTTTAATTATATTGTTGAATGCATAATTAGAATATGCTTTGAGACATGTTCTATTTCCTAAGAGGAAAAGTGGATTGCTCCAGGGACTTTAAAGACACCGAATTGTTAACATTGTTAAAATGATGGCATTTTTGGTGAAAATGAGGTCAACAACTTTGAAAAAATATATTGATTGGTTGATTGCTAGTGAAATATCTCGGAGTCCGATTGACTTAATTATCCCTGTATACCTGTCTTCATGGTCAGAAAATAGTCATAATCAAAGATATAACTGTCTGAAATTGTTTGTGATTACTTACCTGAACCTTTCCAAGTCAAATCAGGAGTGACAAAATTATTTCCACCAAATTTTTGACATGTCTTCAAATACAATAATATTTTCTTCATAAGATAGAGTGTCACTTGTGAACTTTATTGATTGACCTGAGATCGTACCACATCTTTATGACATAGAAGCGAAATAGCCATATTGAACTTTAATGATGTTTGTTTAATTGTTTTTTGCCACTTTTCGACAATTGTCAAAATTTGGGGGCTTTGGGGGAGGGGTACAATTAGGTTAAAAAATTCACCTGATTCAGACTATCCTTAAATGAGCACTGATTCACCCGAGAGCATAACTTTTTCAAAACATGTAAGTGTTATTTTTGGACCACTCACATTAATGTTTCGTCTAATTTTCCCTCAGAGTTTCATCATCATTGTCCAAATCTTAGGCCATATTTGTTGAGATATATGAATGTTCATTATTAAAATCTTGCCTTCCTTTGCAGTTGGAAAAGATTCGGCATTAGGTGTTATAAGTCCCAGAGCACGATAAATAAATAAAAATAACAACAAAATGACATAGAACTGATAGGCGTTTTCTCTTGTGCGTGTCAGCCATGGTCTACCAAATTGCTATTCAGTAGGAAGAAACTGATTTTTCAGTTTCCATTTTAATTTCCTGACAAATAGAGCGATCATCTCAGGATTTTTTCTATGATCTATGTGTCGCCCTAGCAACTTCTGTTTTAGAGAACAATAGAACAATAGAAAAGATTACTTTACCATAATTTTAATCATCCCACATTGTAGACATATTTAGAATTAAAAATATGAAGAGAATGACAAAACCTCTTAAAACACATTTCTTAGGAAACAAATAGTGTCGTATTCTTGTTACTATGGCAACAGAGTTTTTTCTTTTTGTCATTTTTGTCATACAGATTACCTATCATACCAGGACCAAATCCTGAAAATTTGAATTCAGTATCTTCATTAGTATCTTAGATATACAGGTTTCTTATAGTATCCCCTGCAGATTTTATCGGAGTATAAGGAAAATGCTCTGAGGAGGGTTGCCCAAGGATGCCACTTAACAGTATTTTTGAGGTCCCAACCCTCTATTCATGGGAATAGTTAACCATTGTAAAGCTTCTCATGGTTAACTGACAGAATTGATTGTATCGTCAACTAAGAAGACAATAAAATGTTATAAAACCAGAAGAAAACCACACCAACTTTCTTCTATTTACCAGGGGTAGGGCACTATAAAGTCATATTAAAATTACAAAATAGTACTTCATCACTATAATAGATGTATTACAATATCACACATAACTTGGGAATGTTGTTAGAATACTACTTTGAGCTGTTTAAGTTATCATATTTTGCTTGAAGCTACAAATATAAAATAAGCAAGAAAAAAATGACAAAAATTGCATATTTTTTTCTAATTAATTGTATTTTTCCGAAACCAACAAAGATATCAACCTATAACTTTAGGGTAGTATTCATCTCTGTACTAAGAATGTATGCTGTAGAACTCAGAACAACAGTTTATATATCCTTTGAGTTATGAACTAGTTTCATAGTACCCCATAGAATATTTTCCTAGGGGGGTAAAAACGCTAAAATTCATTGTCGTGACCACCCCGTTGAGCTGTCATCTTTTAATATCTTTATCAGCATGAAAAACTGATCCAGAAGAAATAGGTCTGTTGCTTTTTCTAAAAAATGCCTCAAAAACCCTTTCCCTTGAGATATTCTGAAATTGGAACCTGTCTATAAATCTTATATGATATTCAAACGAAATTAAGATTTTTCTCTCATAAAACTACTCATGAATTAATAATGTGTTATCTTATAATCTAATATTATTATAAAATTTAATAACTTGTGACATCAATATATCACAAACAGAACAATTAAAAAAACTGTATGATCTGGCTTGTTTAATGCACTAGTATATTCACATGTTTTGAAATATAGTTATCATTTATGTAAAAATTGATTTTAATTGAAGGAAGGGAAGCAGTCTACACATATGCCATCTATATTTATATCCACACTTGAGATTGCATTATTGCATACATTGTTGGATTCTAGAATTTGAACCACACCCTCCAACCCTATGATAAATAACATGACATGGTATAGCCTAAATAAAAATAAATAAATAATTTTTGTAATTTATAACATCCTAAATATGTAAAACATGAAATTTGAAAGATGTACAGTGTGTGTGGAATATTCACGCAGCTGTTGTCAAATAAATGTATACTCACAGCTGTTGGTGCTGGTTTCTTAGATTCAAAGGTGTCAATGTTGAAATCTTTATGAGTGACAGACTTGAACTCTGTTGGGGCTGGAGGAGGATTGAACTCATTGTGCACTTCTTGGCTGACTTGTTCATATAACATCTGCTCTAATGCCTCTGCCTTGGATCCTACAATAAATTCATAACAGCCTGGTTAGTGTGACATGGTAATATTTCATGAGTGGAGCCGGGGGGGGGGGGATTTTTTAACTTTTTAGACTGGATAACTATAAGCAGCCTTTAATGGATAAATAAATGCCATTTAATGTAAATGTAGATGTACATGCAGTTTTAAATTATTAGTTTTAAATTATTATATGTTGATTAAAACTGATCCAGAAATATTCTAGATACAAGTAAATTGAATATTGATGAAACTACAAATAAAACTACTACTTTGCAGTGACATCATAAATCATTCACCTTTTTGTCTCACATTTGGAGGAACTGGTTTTTGATATGACTCTCGTATAGTCGTCACAGACTCTGCCTTGGCATCAAAGTTTGTTGTCAAAACTCCTCTATGGCCATCTTTGAAGTGTTTTGCACCACTTGTTCCATCGCCATTTAGATCCTGTGGGTCCAGATCATGAACATTGCGCTGAAATAGGAAATTCAAGATAAGACATTGTATAGACAAGAACACAAATGTGTACAATATGTCCCCACCAATGGGTGATTCCATCTTATGGTTACAGGGCTGTCAACTTGGGACCACCTAATATGAGTGACTTCAAAATGTTGGACACCTAAGTCCAAATCTGAACACTTTTGTCCAAATTTTGAACACCTTTGGCCAACTTTTAAACACCTTTGGCCAAAGTTTGAGCACCTTTGCCAAACTTTGAACACCTCAAATTTTTCGCGCTCACTACGCTCGCGATGTCGTCAACGGGGGGGGGGGGGGGGGGGGGGGGGGGGGGGGGGGGGGGTAGGTACGAAAAATTTCCAATGAACATGCGTGACACATACAGGATTCGCGTGACAAATCCCAACAAATTGCGTTCGGTTTTTTCCGGCGTTCGTATTTTTACCATATCGTAAACATATTTCGAAAAAATTTCTACAGAAATACTTTTGCTTGACAATTACCTGGTAAAATGCGTATTTTGCGTGACATTTTCTGTCACGCAAAAAAAACTGGCGTGACTTCAAATTCTTCAGCAAATGCGTGACAAATACGCAAATTGCGGGACAGTTGACAGGCCTGCAAGTGGCCTTGAAATATCTAAGGCAGGTCGTACATACTGGAGGAATTTCCCCTCACCATAGGCCATATGCAATCCAAATTGACATTTACCACATCAAAATCAACTGTATTGACTATGATTCTTATTAGGTCATGACAGAAGCAGTCTTTGGCATGCTTTTTCATATGAGCGAATGGTGATGGCAGATACTTCACTATTGGGCTAAGATATTGCATTACCTCATTGTGAGGTCACTATCTTCTTGCCATCTTCCTCCAGGGTTTCAGTTTTGATGCCTGGAAGGAAAACAGCTCCCTCTTGTTCCAACTATCTTAGGAAATCTTGCCAATTCCACAGAAGAAAATTAGTAGGATATACTTTCCTCACTGTTCCAGTTTTGTGCTGTTTGTATCTATGCTCATTAACATCAAAGTTGAATGACTAAGCTACATAGTAGATGCCAAAATAATAGACAGGACATGTATAGTTAAACATGCTAGTGAAATATAAAGAAAATTTGGTGATTATGCAAATATGATATTTTTTGATAAAACGAAGTCTGCAAATAGTTCATTGCCTTGATGTCAGCTGGGATGTTTACAAGGACATTAGCTTAAAGGGGCAACAAGGTCTGTAGAAGATTCAATTTTTTTATTCTGAGCTATCAGGGCAATATTTGGCTTTGACATACCTATTTTCTTAAAATGTATGGATAAACTATCAATTTCAGAATTAAGAAGTGTAAATTCATTTCAAAGCTTCTATAAAGGGGGTCCCACTTATAGGTTTTTAAGATCCAAAACATTTCAAGAGGAATCAGCTGAAATAATGTTCATCCAGGGGGTTTCTTTGGAAAAAAATAAACATATATGTTAGTCTTGATGAAATATCAAAACTTGAATATATTTTGACACTGGTCCATGATCGTTGAATGGCCCCTTTGCACTAATTGTTGCACCTTTAAAACAGCACTAGAGAGACTTGTGGAACTGGAACAAGGATAGTCTAAGGAGGAAACTGAAACCCTTGAAATAGATGGAAAGAAGATAGTGACCACATAAATTAAGGAGGCAATGCAATGTTTTAGCCCAACAGTGAGGTTCTGCCATCACCCTTGCTCTTAGAAGAAGCAGATTCAAGGATATTTCTCAATATTTTCAGTTAGACTGCTTCAATCATGGCCTTCCAGAGAAAGAATAATACTCCTTACATTTAATTCTGATGTGGTTATCCTGGCATATATGTGATGTTAAAAACTGAAAAAGTCAATTTGGATAGCATATGGTAAGGGAGAAAACATATCAATATCTACCTGCCCATGACCAAAGTTTAATCCTCCCCATTTCTCATACAATCATTGGATGTGATGTTACATCTGTATTCTACTGCTATGGAAAAATGGAATAAATGGATTGAGATTTAAATGTGTCGCTGAATTTTCTAATTGTTATTAATCATTATCTCAGTAGGAATAAAGTGAAAAACAGACTTTTTTCCCCATTTTGAGATCATTTTACCTTGAAAATTATTGTGATAACATTTGGCATTCTTGTGCCCAATCATTGACTGTCATTATTCACTGACAGAATCCTTGACAGAAGCAGCTCACCTTAACCCCCCCCCCATCAGGCTAAGGTGACTGGACTTACTACCCTTTGCATTAATTCGACTTTCCTTCTCAAAAGAGAGCTTCGTCTTCACTCTATCAGTTTTCAATGAATCTCTGAACTCACTGCGCTAATCAGAGTTTGTTGTCGAAATAAGGACGGCTTTATGGTCATTTTCTCTGACGAAATCGCATCATTAATGTGCACGCATTTACCACTTGTTCCTTCAAGCTTGCTGATTGGTTGAGAATAGGTCAGCATGGTTTATTGCAGCTTGGGTCATAAATGCTTTAAGACCCAAGCTGCAGGCCTGTCAACTTGGGAACACCTAACATGAGTGACTTGGAAATGTTGAACACCTCCCCTCAAAATGTGGACACCTTGGTCCAAATCTGAACACCTTGATCCAAATTTTGAACACCTTGGTTTAAATTTTAGGGCATCTTGCCAAATTTTGAACACCTCAAATTTTTCGCGCTCGCTACGCTCGCTTTCAAACATCCGTCAATGGGGGGGGGGGGGGGGGGGAGGAGGGACGAAAACTTTCGAACGGAATGCGTGACATATACGTAATTCGCGTGAAAAGTCCGAACGAAATGCGTACGTTTTTTTTCCGGCGTTCGTATTTTTGCTGTGTAGACGATCTTTTTAAGAAATTTTTCTACAGAAATATTTTTGCTTGACAATTACCAGGTAAAATGCGTATTTGCGTGACATTTTCTGTCACGCAAAAATAACTGGCGTGACTTCAAATTCTTCAGCAAATGCGTGACAAATACGCAAATTGCGGGACAGTTGACAGGCCTGTGGTTATCCTGAAAATGAGTAGACAAGACTTTACTGCTACAATTTTGGAACGGAAAATGCAAAATGGCCACCTTAAAATTTACCAAGAATGCCCAAAAAATTAGTTAGTTCTAGATTTTCATACTAAGAATCATCCCTAAACATTTGAAATTGATCTACCAAACAGTTCACCTGAAAACACGTAGACAAGACTTTACAGGCAAGATTTTAGCACGGAAAATCCAAAATGGCTGCCTTGACATTTACCCAGAATGCCAAAAAACTAATCAGATCTAGATTTTCATACTAAGAATCATCCCTAAAAATTTGAAATTGATCTACCAAACCCTTCACCTGAAAACGCGTAGACAAGACTTTACAGACAAGATTTTAGGACGGAAAATCCAAAATGGCTGCCTTGACATTTACCCAGAATGCCAAAAAACTAATCAGATCTAGATTTTCATACTGAGAATCATCCCTGAAAATTTTAAATTGATCTACCAATTGGTTCACCTGAAAACGCGTAGACAAGACTTTACAGACAAGATTTTAGGACGGAAAATCCAAAATGGCTGCCTTGATATTTACCCAGAATGCCAAAAAACTAATCAGATCTAGATTTTCATACTAAGAAACATCCCTGAAAATTTGGAAATGATCTACCAAATGGTTCGCCTGAAAACGCATAGACAAGATTTTAGGATGGAAAAATCCAAAATGGCCGACAATAAAAAAGTGATTATAAGTTTTTGCTGAAATCTTCTTACAAAATTAGCACATATAACTACTGTTAACAATAACATAGGCTTTTACAATAAAGTACACCTGAAATTTTTTATAAAGCTACTAAATAGTCTAAGTATGAAAACTCAAAAACACCATTCAATATGATACAAAGTATTATCGCACGCTAACTTTTCTTAAGACATTCAAAATGGCTGCCATGACTGGGCTAACAGGTCCAAAACCTAATCAGATCTAGAATCAAGTGAGTTGAACAGGATGTTAAAGTTTTAAAAGCAACAGTGAAGCCATTTTTCTTAAAGTTTGCAGACAAGGATTTTAGCATTTGACTTAAAAATGGCCGACAGGAAGTAGGTATCGAGTTGAAACTTTCTCGTCCACATCTGTATGCACTCATAAGTTATCCCTGAAAATTTGAAGGTGATATCTGTAGCGGTTTAGGAGAAAACTGCCGGACGTACGGACGGACAGACAGACAAACAGACAGACAGACGGACGGACGGACGCGCCTAGGCCGACAATATGGCCCCACACTATGTGGTGGGGACATAACAAAAATGCCCCCAGAGGTATAGAATGCCATGTAGCCATGTATCAATGTGTGACTTGGAGCTATTAGTAATTGGCAAAACTTACTTCAATAAAAGAACTGACTGCATCTACTCTATTGGTTGAATCTATAACAAACCTTGTAGGCAATCGCATTCAAAGTTCAGAACATTTGCACAAATGCAGAATTTTGTGAAAAATTTGAAAAGAAGCGGAAGGAGAAAATTTTTCAATTTAGAACCCAGGCCCTTGGTCAGCTAGGGGTGGGGGGTTCAATGGGTTTGAGTGAACTCACCCTGGCCAAAAATTCTTTCAAAATCATGCAGTTTTTCACCATTCTGAGCAATTTTTAAGTGATTTTGGCCCTTTTTACACCAAAATTGTCGAAAGTAAACTCCCCTGGATATTTTCAAAAAATAAACCCCCCTTGTCAAATCCTGGCGACGGGCCTGGAACCCATACATCAAATACATGCACATGTGCAATATGGCTAGATTCTCATATCTCAGGTAGGTGATTAAGAAAAAGGCAGTACTCATACATGATATCTACTATAATATGCTTTGAGTGAACTTGTATCAAATTGATAGGATAACAAAGGACATCTTATAATGTATGGATGAACATCTCACAATTTTTTGCTGTACAACGTGGAGTGACTAATTTCTCAAAAGAAAGTGTCAATGTTACCCCATGCATCTAACTGACACAGTTTGAATTGCAATGGTAGAATTTACAATAATAAAAAATCTTCAGGGTTATTAGCCTTTACTGTAGGTGGACCATCCATGAGCTTTCAAGAGAAAACCCACGAATGAATGAACCAATCACACCTGATTTTCATATCTGAGATTTTTGTAGTTACACTTCTGTTGGAAGTATACTTTTTCTTTTTACACATATCGAAAATATTCCCCCAATATAGGGTGATTGCAATAATTTGGACCAATCAAATTGCTGGATTTAATGCGCATGCATGGGACTTGGTGCAGATTTAGCCTAGTGGATTTTCGAGGCTTTGAGCGAATGAGTCAATTCATCATTTCCTATTTGAGTGCGAACAGTACAATGATATTAGGAATCGACTATTATACAGAGTAGAATCTGAACTTTTAAACTCTAATATCATCGATATCCGGAAATTGATCTACAAACATTAATGGGATTTAATACAGACATAAAACATTCAGTAAACAACAAGATTGTTGGCCATCTAAGGAGCTTCTTAAAAGACTCTAAAAGATTCTAAACATAAATTAAAATTAGAATCCGTGTATATAAAGTGCATGGAAACTTAAAGACATGCTGGACATTAACGTTTATGTTTTAATTGCATCAAGCTGAGACCATCATATGTTAGTCTCAGCATCGAGTGATTGCATAAGCGATAGCATCCAGTGCAGAGTGACAAGTGTTCAGTCGACAGAATTACAGCGTCTGGGATAAAGAAGAACATAATGATAATGCTGTAGCCTGTACACAAAGTCAGCACTATCAATGGTATACTCTACCTTTAGATATAGATCCTAAAAGTTCAAAAGCTTTTTGCCATTTTGTTTCACAACTGCGGTATGGTATAACTCCACCTTTTTTTCTTTTTTTTTTAAACTTTATACCAGCATGTATTTATTAAAAGTTTTTGATTATTATACAATTCTCTCTTTGTATTGCATTCCTTTTTTTATATTTAAATTTTTTTTTATTTCAGATAATTCAAAAAAGATTACATAAATTTAAAAATTTGTTTACATAAGTTACCTGTTGCATTACATGATAATATTTCTCTTGGAGAGCTCTAATTTAAAATTATAGTACAAGACTCCACCATTGTTTTGCCGTTTCACTACTTGCCACAATCAGCCTCACTGCCAGCATATCAAACCAGGCCCATTTTCCATCAAACCTGGCCCAACTACTATCAGGTGGATGTCCTTCAAAAATTAAGTTGGCATGGTTACCAAAGCCTAATAGTTGCCATGGCAACCGTAGAAATGGGGTAAAAAATGGGAGCAAAAAAGCACCCAAACCCACCATTTTTTTTATTAAAAAACTATATTTCAAATCAAAAACATATATACAGTACAATTAATACATTTACATATAAAGGTTACATGTTGTAAAATGATTTTTCCCTATTATCTATCATTTTCAAAGTTTCCTGCTCATTCAGCAGATCACATTTAAACATATGGATAGCTATTTTTATAATCACACTTTTAAAATATTTTTATTGTGCGAAATTTTCAATACCAAGTTTTTGTTTATCACTGAGACAATTACAATCACAGGTGTTCCAAATATTTAAAACTTCTTTACACTTCACAAAATACATGAAATAGTGCATATCATCATCAATTTCATTATCACAATATTTACATTTATCTGAATCTTGTATTTTACACTGTTTTAGATATTTGCCACTTGGATAAATTTTATGGATAATCCTCCATTGGATAATTTTGAGCTTATTATATCATAACATTCCATCTTTAACAATATCATTTATATAAATTACATCATTTTCAATCCAATGTTTAAAAAATAATGGTCCCAAACCATGGTGGGTCACGTGCATTATCTCATGGAAATGGGCATACCAGTGCAAAGATCTTTGTTCCGTGATAAAGGAAAGCTATCTAACATTGTCTGAAGAGCATTCTAATTCTACTTTTAACATGGCGACCTGGACAACATATAGCCATTTGGGCGATAATAGGTGATTCTAAAGTGAAAATGAGTACTTTTTTCGTAGCTTTACTTTGACCAAGGCTTGCAAAAAATTGAAGTAATAAACCTTCCCCCAATTTTTGATATTTTTGTTGTCTAGAAGTGTTCTAGATGATATCAAAGTTTAAGAAAATTTGTATGTCTCGAAATATTTTGAAAATAAGTGCCATTATGGCGGGTCTGGGTGTTTTTTGCTCTCATTTTTACCCATTTCCACGGTTGCCATGGTAACTCATACCTGCCAACCTACCATATTTTTACCGACATCTACCATAAAATATTCGTTTTTCGGTAAAAAAACACAAATACCGTAAAAATTACTGTTTTTTCCTGTAAACACGACCGTAAAAAATCTACTGTAATTTTACCAAAATCTACCGTAAAATATTTTATTATAATTCGATTTTTTCCATAAGAACAGCCTAAAAATATACCGTAAATATTTGAAAACTACAATATTTCTGCTGGAATTTAAAGTATTCTTGTTCAAACTACAGTAAAATCTACCGTTATTATCATGAAATTCTGAAAAATTGAATTCTTCTCGTATTGCCCTTGTAAAATTCCATTACCAACCCAAAAATAAATAGGTGCCGGCAGGTCTTTGATGGTGGTTATTGCGTACTTAGTAAGTAACTAAGTAAGCTGGCGTGTAATCAGTCAACACACTGGGGAATATCACGATGCAAAAACAGTGTTCAACTGTGTATCACAGGAAGAGTAATCATGATTAATTTGTAAAATGCTACATTGTAGCAATGGTATGAGTATGATGTCACAATACACTGGGGCCTAACTGGCGTAAAGGGGAGAAAAAGGGCAGATTTTCCACATGGGGACCACATTTGACTCAAAATATTTGCATTTAGCAACATACATTTCAGTACATTCTGTGTAATACTTGAAAGGCATTGCTATAATGATTTACAAAATGAGATAATCTCGGGGATTTTGCATCTAAATTTTTTGCATGAGATGTCTGAAGTTGATGACCCAATTTTAAGTCATTTTGGCCAGTTTTTAGAGACTCAGCCCTCACCTATTTCCCCAAATATGACTAGATTTTGTAGAAAATGTGTTAAAAGTTTGAAAATCCAGCTGTTTTGAGCATGAAATAACTCAATTGTTTGAAAAAATGCTGAATGAGCATAAATTATCATGGTAAAATTTTTCCATTTTTAGATATTAAGGTGTTACTACTGTAAATACAACTTCCGGGTAGGACAGTGTTTTTTAATACTTAAAAACGAAGCCATGCCAACTTCAATGGTGTGCATAGTAGGTTTAAGGTGCCATGGAAGTTAACAGTTAACGAAACAGGAAGTGAAATTTTTTTGCATTTTTAGACATTTTTTGAACAAAGATAACAGAGTTCTGGTTTGACCTCCAGTCAATTTAAATATTTCCACATATCATTTACATTACTAGGATCACAATGTGCATGGTCAGAATGACCCTAAACATGATGAAATAACCTTTTTAGCCCTTTGAAAGTGTGACTGAAAAAAAGCTAAAAGTAGGAGCTAGGGAAGGTCACTGAACACAATCTTTTGAATTTTTCAGAAAACGTGCCCAATATAATGCTCTAACTGATACAATCTTTGAAATTTTAGAAAATGTTCTTAAACAAAAATGGCGGTCATAAAAAGGAAAATAGATTGCTTTTCAAATCAGTTATTTTCAATTTTTTTCTTTTTCTATGAATGATATCAAATTTTCAAAGATTGTATCATTAGAGCAATACATTGGACACATTTACTGGAAAAATCACAAGATTCTGTTCATTGACCTTTCCTGAGCACCTACTTTTAGCTATTTTTCAGTCACATTTTCATAGGGCGGAAAAGGTTACTTCATCATGTTTAGGGTCATTCTAACCATGAACATTGTGATCCTGGACGTGTAAATGGTATTTGGAACTAGTTGAATTGACTGGAGGTCAAAAAATTCATCGGTGAAGCAGGGATTTTACCTAAAAATGAGTCCCTATGTTGGCGTAGTGATATTTAAAAATCGAGACGCAAACCCTATGTTAAATGTATGGTCAAGATGAAGGTTATGTATAGGGGAACGCAGAAATATAGTTATTGTATGGGCTAATTCGTTCGAAAATGGCGATATGTATCCCAAACTTGAATTTTGTGATTTTTTCAATATTTTTCAATGATTTACCGTAGTGACACCTAAATGGAAATATAAACACTTCCGGTAAATATTCGGTTCAAGTGCGAATTTGGACAAACTTTTGCAAGTTTGACCAGGAAATCACCTTTCATTTGGTATGTTAGTAACGTTTTTGATCGTATTGGGTATGTAAGAATCATATACATGTCGAGTTATTAGCATAAATGTCACAGTTTGAAGGATAAATGGAAATATAACACTTCCGGGAAATATTGTCACAAAAGCCTTTTGGACTTTTAGTCTCTATATACCTTAGAATATACCATTGATAGTGCTGACTGTGCCTGTACATGTAGGTACAACATTATCATTATGTTCTTCTTCTTTATCCTAGGTAGGTTGAAGGTTAAAATTTGGCTTAGGCTAAGAAAAAACATTTTCAGCTGAGTTTTGATAAATTGATTTATTTTATAATCTCACCTCTTCAACCCAATTTTCAAGCAAGCATTTACCGCTTGAATTGTTGAATCTGATTTCGTTTCTTCCCTGATTTAGAGTACTCATATCTGTATATAAGCTATGCTTCTCTGTGTGGTAAAACAGGCAATATATGACTTTTTGCGTTCAAATTTTAATCTTTTTCACTTTTTCTTAGCGGAAGTAGCTTTCCAATATTACCATGACAACATGCGCAATGTAGCTGCGCAGTAAGATTTTCCTTCCCAGAATCCTTCTGAATAAATAAACAAACACACGTGTTTCAGGTTCAGAGACATCAATGTAGTGATTCTTACATTATGTCTGCAACAAATCGATGTTTCACCGCAGAAGCACAAGAAAGAAAAGACGAAGTTGTTTCTAAATCAGTCAATACTGTAAAACCAAGAATGAAAGGAAAGGGAAATGCCCAAGATTATCTAAAATCCACTAGATCAGTGAAGGGTTTGATAAGTTCTGTATGTATCAGCACATCTAATAAGGTTCTACAGAACCATTCAGATACAGTTCTAAATGGATTTTATGTTATGTGGAAGCAGAAGTTTCTCTGTGATGTGGTATTAAAAGTTGAAGACCAAACATTTTATGCACATCGTTCATTACTCGCTTCGTGCTGCGATTATTTCAATGATTTATTCAGCGATTCTGATGCCAATGCAGATGAAGAAATAGAGGTGACATTGAATGGAATAAACCCAAACACAATCGGGTTGGTTATAGAATGTATGTACACTGGAAAAATTCAGTTAAATGAATTGAATGTAAGAGAAGTCCTCGCTGCAGCTAAGTATATGAAATTCTATTCTATAGAGGACGCCTGTAGTGAATTCCTTGGAGAACACCTTAATAAAACCAACTGTTTAAGAATGTTAAATCTAGCTTTCACATACAGGCTTAATGGACTCACAGAAAAATGTCTAAAAGAAGCTGCAGAACATTTTTCCCAGCTGGCATCTGGGATTGACTTTTTACAGATGGAAAGTGAGCATGTATTGGCATTGCTTGCTAGAGATGAAGTTAATGTGAAAAGAGGTGAACTTGAGATTTTTGAAGCTGTCTTAGCTTGGATTAAGTTTGATAAAACTAGCCGACTGGATTATGCTAGTGAGCTGTTCGAAACAGTTCGCCTTCCCTTGTTAAATCCTTCTGAGATTGTCGACCATGTTGAATCAGTAGATTACCTGATGGAAGACTCAAGATGCCAAGAATTGGTGAAAGAAGCCTTACATTACCATTGCTTACCTGCAAGACAGAGCATTTTACAGGTATTCCATCAATCAGATTTTCCCATAATCAGGCCCTTTTGTTGTACATTTACATGTATGTCCCATGTTCAATTTCATAGTTCCTTTCAAAATAAAGCCCAATTATTGGTTTTTGTTTTATGAGAAATTAAGGGGGTATACAAAGGCTTTATGAAAGAATAAGGAAGGGGAATAATGCCCCCAGCCTAGGCCCTACACATTATTAATAAAAACAATAAACTATAAAAAGACTAATATATGACATGTACATTGTAGTCCCCAAGAACTCTTCCAAGATGCACCTCCAAAGTGGAGTGTGTGATAGCAATGGGAGGAGCACCGAGAATGAAAAATGATGAAGTGGGGAGAGATGTTACATATTTTGATCCTACAACAAAGGAATGGAACTTTCTGACCAGACTTAATGAGCCAAGACACCATCATGCAGGTAAAATTATTGCTTTCATACACATCTTTTATGAAGTACCTGCTAAGAATAATTTTTAAGGGGATGCAAAAATCAAGGTTTTGGTGATACAAATAATTTTTCCACTGAGCTTCTGGTATCTCTGATCAGTCCAGACAGGCATAGATTGCAGTGTATATGATTATATTCTTGAGTTGCTTCATATTGTGTCACCCTGTATATACTTTTATTAATGAGTTATCTTTTATTGTGTCACCCTGTATATGATTATATTATTGAGTTGCTTTATATTGTGTCACCCTAGATATGATTATATTCATGTGTTACCTTTTATTGTGTCACACTGTATATGATTACATTCTTGAGTTGACTCTTATTGTGTCACCCTGTATATACTTTTATTCATGAGTTATCTTTTATTGTGTCACCCTGTATATGATTATATTCTTGGGTTGTCTTTTATTGTCACCCTGTTTGTGAGACATTCTGTCGAATCAGAACACCAGCAGAACTGGGTAGGGTTTAGATTAGCATGTGTTCGCATTTCAAGGCTTCATGATATACGAGATACCAAATTGGGACCGAGAAAAAAAAATCTTACATTGAAAGTGTTTGGATTAGAGAGGTGTTCGTAGATATAGATTTTATATATATACATGTATTTCAGTGGCCACACTTGGTGGGTTCCTCTACGTGGCAGGAGGTGAGACAACCAATGACCAGAGATCCCCTTTGGCAACAGCCTTCCGTTATGACCCACGTAATGACACCTGGTTGAAAATAGCCAGTATGAACCACAGCAGAGAAAGCTTTCAGCTTGGTGTCCTGGCTGGTATGCTCTATGCTGTAGGTAAGGCCATGGATTAGCTTGAAATAAAACAACAGTGGGTAAGAACAATGATCCAGGAAATTCTCCAGGTTGAAATAAAACATCAAGATCCCTCAATGAAATCATTTTGATGATTGGAGGTCAGGTGAATGAGTTATCCAATGAGGATAAAGTACTCCCAGTAGTTTTCTACTTTAGAGTAAAAACACATTTTGACAACTTCCACCCAGGATATGGTACGTCAGACCAACATTTTCTGAAGTATCACAAAGACACACAAAAGACAAAAGTGATTTCAATTTGTTCAGAATCTTGGTCCTGTAAACTTATTTTTATCCCTTCAAATGTTTGAGGTTAAAGCATTTAAGGCCTACTCATAAAGAAAATTGCCAAAATTTTTATTTGTTGATTTAATTATAAATGAATATCCTAACTGTAATTAATGAGATTGCTCATGAGGATCTGCACATATGACATTTCTAAAAATGAATAAGAGATTCTGATACTTTGACCCCTTTGAACAAAAGCATTGATTGCACAGGGTTATTTCTACATTAGGTGGCAGGGTTGACCAAGAAGAGTCCCTGTCAGCAGTGGAACGTTATAATCCTGCAGTGGACAGGTGGGATCTTGTGTCCCCAATCTCCTCTGCAAGACGTAGTGTTGCCATAGCAGCCCATGGGGGAAGATTGTATGCAGTTGGAGGCTCAGGTAAACACAACAAAGAGTTGTTGGAAAATTGATTAACACGTTTTGAGACTGTGGGATGTATGTTTTTATTGTACATGTTTGTTATCAAGTATATTGCCAGCCGATAAACAGTTATAACAACTGTACATATTTGTTGTCACATATATTGCTAGGTGACAAGCGCATCTGCAGCAAGGTAGAGCGCTATAACCCTCTGCTTGATGAATGGGAACAAAGACGAATGCTTTCCACACCACGATTTTTTGCCAACCTTGCATCCGTCAGAAACAGACTCTATCTAATTGGTGGTGCTACTGTTGACCAATCAGGTTCTGTGACATGTGCAAAGTCGGTTGAATGCTACAACCCCCTCAGTGACTCCTGGACTACAGTCGCCAACATGGAGGTACCCAGAGCAGAGGCCGGGTGTACAGTGCTGGACAACAAAATCTATATCATAGGAGGGTACTCATGGGACAGACTGAAGAGACTAGACTCAGTGGAGTCATATGATACCTCCAAGGATTGCTGGGATAGCGAGACCTCCATTGATAAGCCTTATACAGGTGTAGGTGTTTGTACCCTGACTCTATATAAGAATGATGTATGTAGATCAGTTAATGACTTATCACTGGTGTGAACAAATAAATAACAACCATGGACATGATATATTTAGCGAGATAATATATACGTAAGAGCTGTTCTAATAAAATATCACAACATTATTAATGTTGACGTCATTTCAAAACCAAAAGTATTTGTTGCTAACACAGCGATTCCAAGTTCACGAACTGTCATATGTCATGTCTTTTCTGCCAAACTCTAGGTTTAATTGGGTGTATGATGTTATACGTTAAAGAACATAGTGCACCTACCTTTACCTACTAAAATAATACAAAGTTTGAACAATTTATTCCAGACACCAATTTATTTTGAGCAAAATCCAAAATCCCAAATTTTTTAATTAACAATATACATTATGTGTAGTACAATTAATCCATAAAACAACTTAAGTACAATCTTTGATTTAGCAATTTTAAAATACGAAATATTTTCCCTACCCCGAAAAGTTTCTCACACTCCATTATATTTTTTGTTATAACAATAAAATGAGGTAAAAATTCCTCAAACATATATTCAATTGCAATTTTATGCATAACAATATTTCAATGAAGTAAGAAAATATTGCACAGTTTTTAGTCTTGTATCAAGTTTCCACACTGACAGTATTTATCTATTTCTCAAATTAGTGATTAGGAGAAATGTTGAGGGGAAAATACTGGGGCTTGATGCAAGATTTCAAATAAAAGAGTCTGCCTTTATATTCAAACTCTCCTTATTTTATGCTTTAAGCATTGCTAACATCATGTAAATGTGATATTATCTTAATCCAATATAGATATGTATATACATTTTATTGACTCTTTGATGTCATTACAATGACATCAGAAATATATTAATGTAAACAATGCTTGAAGCAATATAAGAGCTAAATGTGAACTATTTCAAAAACCCTTTACCTTTCTTTAAATATGGGGGGCAGGTGAATAAAACTTGAGATGTAGGCTAAATATATATTCCAGTTTTCTGCATGGAAAAATGAACAGAATTCTGCATGAAAAACATCCTCATTCTGCACAAATGGCAAATTCTACATGATATTCCGCATATTACTGTAGTTTTTTAAATCGAAGTCATGGAAATACATGTACAGGATTCCGGAATGTGTATGAAAGATAACAATACAAAAACACTTAAAATATACGAAACATATAATAATAAAAATACAAGGGTCAAGAGTCACGATGTGACAAAATAAATAAATGTACATGTTAATGAAAACTATCACAGGTTCACAATTACTAATAAACAGCATTAATAGCTTAACACTGACTTTAGTCACTAAACTATATGCATATAAATAGCATATGCATCTTTTACATACTGGTCCCTTTATACCTAAAGCTATATTTTTAAAAATACAATTCTAATTCCCTTGAAGATTATATTTAATCTCAAAAAGTTCAATCATATAGCTATTAAAATATCTAGACAAAATGCCCATAAAATCACACAGGATATATATCCTTTTTATTATTATAATCAATCTTAACACAATACAACGATTGTTCAAAACAAGAATATAATTGTTAAAATCACAGTCCACCTCAGAATTTTTACCAATTCACATAAATACACTATAATAAATTATGTTGTCTAAATCACATCAATCAACGAATGCCTAAATTACATCATAATTGGCAAAAATATAATACAAATGTCAAAAAATTACATCATCATTGGCTAAATCTGACCTAACAAGTCTTATAACACGTAATTGGCCAAATCATCCATCAAATAATGTCTAAATCACAGTATAATTGGCCAAAATCACCTATCAAATGTCTATATGAGTTCATCAATTTCCCAAATCACCTAACAAATGTCTAAATCACATCAAAACGTCCACTAAAACCCAGTCACATTTGCTACAGCTGCTGTGCAGCCTGTTAATCATTCTTGCGCTCGCCACAGAAATTCACTGATTTAATTGATCTGCGGTGGATGCACAGCTGCTGTACAATAAATGTGACTGGGTGTTTCAATCAATTATACATGTACTTTCACAATCACTGCATATCACCATTCACAGAATCTGGTCATGATCACAGCATATTGTTATAGCGATCACAAAATTTTGTCACAATTTCAGTCTGTTAATGTCATCACAATCACATAATGTTGTCACAATCACAGAATATTACTGTCACCCTTAGAACATATCGTCACATTCACATTTGTCACAATCACAGTACAGAGCACCCTTGTTGAGCTCCCACAGACCCTGTTGTATCTCCGATGTTTGCTGTGATTCCATTGATGGAAACAAATTCAACACAACCAATCAGCGATGGCATCTGCTCAACAGAGGCTGGAAAATCGGGAGAGGAACCTGGAACAAAATAGCATTCTCTCTGTTATTATATATTATTGGTAAAGTGACCAAATAGAAATGTTTCACATAAAGGTATAGTGTTTTTATTGTAGGTTAAGGTGAATGGCCAAAGATGTTTGGCATAATATTGACTGAAGTGACTTCTCCGGGATAAAAGACAAAAAGAGACTTTTGGTTAAAGAGACTTGTCTGAATAGTTGAATTTATTGGGATAGTGTCTCTAATGTTAAGCCTATGATGTTTGTCTTAAAGACACAGTCTTGCCCAGAGACTCTGATATTAATTTAAGAGGCATACTGAGATATTTAACTTAAATCAACACTCTCAATATTGTAATTAGACAATTCTATAGGAAAGCAATTTTTATACCTCCAACACCGCCTACATACACAGAGGTACCATCGTTGAAGAAATCGTTCGGACCCATAAAATTTGATGATGGATAATTGAATACCTCATCTCCGCTGCCATCCACATTAATTCTCATGCCTGATTCACTGTAAAATATACCAATATGCATTGCAACTAGATAACGGCAACTCCGCGGAGTAGCAAATCCCAACGAACAAAATATCAATTACTGAGTTCCATTATACTCATTACTTTGGTTAAAATTGAAAAAATTAGATTTTAGAATTGTGAATTCCTGCAAAGCAGCCATTTTAAATTTTCTGAGGTACAAATCTGAAAAATAATACCATAATTGTTAACTACTCCAAAATTCCTTCAATATGAGTATAATATAGCCATACTTTGAAGGGATCAAAAAATAATTGCGTAATCATACATTAGACGGCCATTTTGAATTTTACGAGGCTCGAATCAGAAAAAAGATCCAATATTTGCAATCTACTCTTAATTGCCTTTCATTTGAGTATAATAAAGCTATAGTTCAGAAAGATCTAAAAATTAGCAAAAATCTCTGTTTTCCCGACCCCCCATACAGGGCCCCTGGGGGTCAGGATGAAAAACACGGAATATATGTGAAATAGATAAATGTTGTGAATATACTACCAAAATTTCAAACAATTATATTAATTACTTTGGTTTAGAATGAAAAATTTATGATTTTTGCGAAAAAGTCCCGTCATTTTTAAAGTGGCGGCCATCTTGAAAATTTTTTTTTTTGCGTAAAACTATTCACCAATACAAATCTTTCCGCTAAATATGAAGAAAATCCGTCTACTAGTATTTGAGTTATCTTCCGGACGGACAGACGGACGGACAGACGGACTGACGGACGGACTGACTGACTGACGGACGGACGGACGGACGGAGGGCTTCACTATATCCCTACCGAACTTCGTTCGTTGGGATAATTATTAGCTGGAATAGTAGTAGAATGACTATAAAATACAAGATAGTCAGAACATATATCAACAGTGTTAAAGCTAACTAAGGCCAATGGTATTTGAATATGTTATTTAGACAGAAATTTTTGAGATTGGAATTTAAGAACTTGTTCGACTGTATCACTTTTTTTAAGTGAAGTTTATTGTTCCGTTCAAAATATTAACAAATATTATATAATAATTTGACGCAGAGTGTATATTGTGTTTATTTATTCAAACTCAGGTAAAAATACACACCTTGTGTCAAACAACTTTGTGCATCATCAAACAATTCCAACAAACTTTTGGTATTGGTGCCCATTATAATAACTAGACATTGAAAACAAGTTCAATTTCAAGACTCCAGATGACTTTTAGGTGAAAGACAGACGGACAGACAGACAGACTGCACAGACATCTCAATTTGGTTTGCAAATTCGGATTCCCGAGAAAAGGCTACCCTTATTCCATAACTCACACGTTAAATTGAAAGAACTTTTTGTTTTGACCTTTTTTCTGGACATGATATCTCTGAAGTGGGTTAAAATACTCTCTGACGGCAAAAGGCTAACGCTATTTGCATACTTTTTGCTATCTGTCTACCAAATTTCTAAGAATATTATTTAAGTGTAGTGCCAAAATCGTAAAAATAAGTAAAATCTATGAATTGATATTTTTCCATGAAATTTTCAGTAAATGTTCCTTAGAGACATTTTGATTATTCTAAGAAATTTCACGTTGACTGATAAAATTATATTTATGTTATAATAAAATCAAGTTGGTGAGTTTGGGTAGGGTGGGGCAGGTTATACAGTCACGTCAAAAGGAACAAACAATTGAAAATATGAAATAATTAATCAACAAATACCATTTTGTGTAGCTATACGAAGTATGCTCAAAAATACATTTTAAGATACTAAATTACTATGAGCACATCCTAGATTTAATGGATGTATATTGCACAGTGTCCAATTTCTCATTTTTCTCAAAATATAGCCCTTTGTATGTTATGTGCTTTTGATGCCTGTCAGGTCAAACAATTGGTAATTTCTTCCACTGTGACTTGTGGAGTTTTTGCCTCCCATGTTTGGAGTTGTCATCCAGGGTCAAATCATCTCTTTTAAATCTCTTCTGCCACCTCATAATTGTAGTTTTATCTGGTATATACCCCTTGTATACTTTCTTCATGGTAGCATAAGTTTTGCGTGGCTGTGAGTCAAAGTGAAGTATGAAATTAGGCCACCAAACGCAAGGCCTTCTGTTATCAGGTGAGAATTGCAGCCATTTTTGTCATTTCTTGACTGTGACTGTATTTGGATATAGTGCATTACTTATGGGACAACCCTCGTATATATATACTTTTCTCAATATTGTTTTAGAAAACACATCAGGCACTTCTTTTGTTCTATGTATCATATGTTCGGAATGAAATGAAACATCTATCCGAACCTCATTGGAACAAAACGACATAAACACAACTTGTTTAGGTCTCTCAATATTGTAATTTTACAAAGGGAAATTTGGTTGATTTTAAAAAAGTATCTTGTTAATGAAATAATAAAAGGTTTATCTTAATTTTTATCTATTTTGGGAGGTTTCGTTTTAGATTTTTGCATACTTTTTGTTAAATCAATCTAAATTTCCTTTGTATAACTATAATATTGAGAGGCCTAAGAAAATGTTGTATATGCTATTTTGTTCCAACAAGGTTCGGAAAGACATTTTATTTCGTTCTCAAGAATTGGTAGAAAGGAACAAAAAACAATTGCACTAAAAAACCAAAAATGTTAACAAAAACAGTTATATAAAATATACATAAATCATTTTCGCATTAAATTGTTGTCAATCAGTCAACATTACATAAAGGACCGTGTTTTTTACAGAATGTTCTCATTAATTGGTGTAAGAGAAAAACATTGTTGAATTCAGTTCACCATATCGATACCTATCCTTTTGAAGGAAAGTAGATTTTGAGGTTGGCTTCAATTGTAGGCTCTTATTAGCTTGGCTGCATCCAGGCTGTATCTTGTGTTGTTACAATTCATAATTTTCTCAAGCCCCATTGACTTAACATGGGATACCAAAATAGCGATTTTGGGAGATTTCAAAACGCCATTATTTCCGAACCGGAATTTAGATCAAAATTTGATTTGCAGATTCGGATTCCTGGGAGATTCTACGCCTATTTCATAACTCATACATTGAATTTCGAGAACTTTTTGTTGGACCTCATTTTTGGACACTGATATCTCGAAATTGGGTCGAGAAATCAATAAATTAATTCGACAGTGGGTTCTCCTTTTTTATGAGGAACACAATGAAAAAAAACGGATTGAAAATATTGAAGGATGACTGAAAAAATTGAAAAAAGTGAAAAAATACTGGATTTGACCTAGTTCTTGACCTTTGACCTAGATAAAAAGTTGACCATATTTCCCAGGAACTAGATTCAGTCCCTTAATTGACAGTTTGATTGTCTTTACTGAATGTCTTATGGTTGTTGAGAAAACTGGCATAGAAAAATAATATGAAGAAAAATGACGAAAACAATACTAATAATCAAGTTCAGCGTTTTAGAGTTCGACATGTTTATTTCAAAATAAAAGTATTAGATGAGGATGTACAGATATTTGTCTGACAGAAGGTGTATGATTACAAAGTAGAATAAGATGGAGAAAATAATCATACTTGTCATTTCACCAATCCCATTTAGACCTACCTGTTTATAACAGTAGAGAGAGTATGAGGCTGATAGTTGCATGATGCAAATCCACTGCCCAAACTTGATTCTGCGATAAATGGAGTATCGCTCGACAAAATGTTCCCAACAGCTACTACAACGTGACCATCGACAAGCCTTATTTGGATGAAAACTGTATGGGACAAATGCATCGTGTACAAAGTGGCATTCCGCATTGTGCTTCTGAATGTCAGCGTAATATTGATGTTTATGGATTTAGTGTACTCTGAAACAATTATACAGAACTTTAATACTACATGTACATCCCACTGTAGCAAATCCAGTGAAACAATAAAATATTGCTTTAAACTGAAAAATAGAATCTCAATGTTACAATTCAGCTGAATAAATCATATTTCCTGAAATCAGTCATGAGTTAATTTACCTAAGCGCAGGTATGATCCATCTCCGATGAGTCCAACGCCAGGGTTGATATCCCTGCTACACTTGCCAACCCCCCTCCAGCTTGAAGGCTGACGAGGGGTGTTGCTTGTATTGACACCATCGAGGCTGTCAGGGGCAGATAAATCCCATAAATAATCAGGCAACTTGGATGTGGAAAGTAAACCTGCACTGATGCACCCTGGGAATGATAGTGGTTTTATCGCCGTCTGGAAAGAATGAAGAACTAGGAATGTGTCTGTCTGTCTGAATTTGAACTCCCAATCACCTTTTCAAGCATATAATTATAGTCAAAGAATATTTTTGTTATCTAAACCTCTTTATTATTGTGCTTCACATCTATTCCTCTGGATTTCCACAGCAAGAAGAATTATATAAGTAACTCTCAAAATATTTGTGCTTGCTAACTACAAAACCCCCTTGTCCGAGGATGTAACATAATTTTCAGTACCTGAGTGATTATTACTTCTGTGAATAATCTTTCTGTCGTTCCATATTTGGTTGTGTCTACACCCCCGAAATAAAACTCTGAGCCAATACTAAAGAAGGATGCAGGCCCAGAGGACTCGTCGTTATTTATGTAATCTTTCTCTCCGACAGTCAGGAAAGCAATGAAGTTGTTCACTCTCAGGACATTCACCTTCATGAAATATACAAGAACTATATGTTATATCAGTATATTAACAGGTCCCTATACTCATATGGATATGTCCCCAAGTTCAAGCGAATGGCAAGCAGTAAAGGCAAAAAAGCTTTTGTTGTGATCCTTTGGCAATTAGTGTTGGGTTTTAAAAGTCTGGTTTGGTTTTCAATCTGAATTCAATTATTCAAAAACTATTTAAAATCCCTCATTGTTATCTGGAAATCGGTTGTCTATATCAGTCGAGAAAATGATCATTTACATTAGAAAAGTGAGAATGAGTTGTATTGAGATTTAAAAGATCAGCTTTGCAAGGCGTTTTCGATATAGAAGATTTAACACAATCGTTTCATATTTTTGGGCGTAGTGTTGAATTTACACCTTCCTACGTCCCTGGGGTCTATTTCTCCAAACTCCGTAAAATTACGGATCCGTAAGTCTATTGTTCTTTCTCAAACTTACGGAGAGATTGCATTTCTCGAAAAATCGTAAATTTACGGGATTTTGTGGGATTTCCGTAAGTTTACGATATTCATGACGTCATAGCCTTCTTTTTAGGCACCTCAGACCCTGTCCATAACTATTTACGGAGGAATTTCCATTCTATTGCATAATGATTACTATGGTTACCTGCATCAGTACCACTTACCTGCTATACCAAAATGGCAGCTCTTAGGAGGTATATAGAAATCAAACCGATTAAGAAGGGTGGGAAGAGTTCGCAAATTGCTATATATCCGTGGGTAATTGTGAGCCGCCTCCGCAAATGCATGTGGAAGTGCCTGTACTAGACAAACTTATTGGGTCAGCCCTTCAACGTGAGGCAGGGAGGTCGGATGGTGGTAGTAAATCCCTTCGAGCTGCACCAAATTAAGAAATAACTTTCAGGTCGCAGGGATTTTACTACTAAATTTGATAACGTCAACTTGAAAATCCCAATTACAGTGTTTCTCTTTGAATCAAATCTTTCGGGGTCTAGAACGCATTGAATTTAATTTTAATGACAGATGACAAAATATTTTCCAAGATTGACGGCATTACGGTAACGTATATTTATTTATATTTGTGAATATTAAATAGGTGGCTTTATAATCAGCACTTCATTTTCTTTCTTTCATTATTCTTTAATCATACCAGAATAAAACCCAAACTTCAAGATGCTTGAAATTAAGAAGAACGCATGGGATATCAATAATACAGGGTGTGCCAAAAATACGTCCATGTTTTTGTTTTGCTACAACATTTTTGATATTACAGAAAGGAGAGGGAGTTGTTTGTAGAATGAATCGGGGGAGTTTTTGTCATTCAGTTCGCTAATGTTTTTCATCCAAAAAAACATCAATACACTTTAAACCATTTTATTGATCCTATTCGCTTTTAAATAACATAAATGCTGTTTTAAATAGGTTTCATGTGTATGCCAATAATTTCTCAAAATGTGTAAACACTCCCATTCAATTCATCGTCTTTTTGATTTTTAGAGTTTTTATACTCACCAAGACACAATGATTTCACTAACTACGTTTAATTACTGTTAGATGTTTTTCTTCCTATTCTACCGAACTATAAGAACGTCCAGATACTGAGAAATTAAGTATAACGCATAAAACTTTGAAGTAGATATCTTATTCAAGGCACCCGAGCAAACTCCACACAAAATTTTGGATGTAGAGCCATGAGAGCTGTCCAGTCCTAATTGGAATTTCTCTGATTCAAATCCAGGGCCTTGAAAAGTTCATCATAAGTTTAACATCCTGCTGAGAGGCCAAATTTTTGGGGTAATCGAAGTGAAAAAATTTAAAACAAAACATTCATTTATTTAGAAGATGTAATTTAAATGTTGAAATAATATAACACAAACAATTAAATACCTGCTGATAAAAGGTTAAAGGTTCACATTAACTGTTTGAAGCTGAAATAATTGTAGTTGGAACTTAATTGTATCTTGGAACTTCTTGTAATATAATTTATGAATTTTATTTGGATTCATTACAATTATATTTTGATGCACAATGACGTCATATCTCCGTAACTTTGCGGACAAAGATATGATTACGATACGGAGTTTGGAGAAATGCAATTTGAAACTTTGCATCTTTCTCGTAACTTTTTAAATTTTACGGAAATCGTAACTCTACGGGTCCGTAACTTTACGGAGTTTGGAGAAATAGACCCCTGGTTGGTATATACATTTTCACAGTATACACTAACACTAATATGTAGATCAGTTCCCTTACCATATGTACATTACCATCATCGTAGTCATTTTCAAGCTTAAGTTCCGTCCTATCCGAGTCAGTCGCAATGATGAATGATAGTTTCTTGTTGCTCAAATAGAGGGCCATCCAGAAAACCGGACTCTGTACTTTATCTGCCGTGTAGAAGATGATACCATTCGGGTTCAGAGCACGGAACTCTATTGATATTAAAAACCTAAACATACTTTTTAAAATTAGCTTTATATTATATATTATATTTATCAGATGTATCTTATTTTCCAAAATGTCAGATTGTGAAATACACTAATACAAACTAATAACCAAAAATTTAAAAATCACATGTTCAATTAATTCAAAAATCATGAAGTATTTGCTATTTCCTCATCTTGAACTATTGCCAATTACAAATGTGAGATAATACAATTTTCTATTATCCGCTTACATAGATTAATAAGGCTACTGCATCACAATGACAGATGTTTGACTTTAAAGTGGAAGCAAAGAGAATGTAAAATGTTTAAATTTTTTGCTTGGCTGTCCCTTAACTCAAAGTCACAGTTTACTCTTTTACTTACTCTTGACTAAAGTAAGCACCAAGGCCACTAACATTAAACATCATATAACTTTGAGCATGGTCTCCAAACCTGGTCCCTTCCTCCAAGAAACTGCCTTGTCCAATGGAGGCGCATGTTGGGGGAGGGGTTGTGGGGGGAGGGAGAGTAGTTGTGTAGGGTAAGGGGGCTAGGGCCTCTGGGAATGGGGTTAAGCCACTAAGATAACTGGCTGATTGAGAGACATATGTGTTAGGATGGTACAAATCTAGTGGCCTATAAAAGAAAAGCATTTATATGAATCAATACAATAATTTGTTATGTCTTAAAGTAATATGTTGCTTGATATTTTAGAGAACAGTGGTTTAACATGTTGTCCAATGTAATAATATTGATGGACTCCTATATTTTTAGCAATGAGCAAGGTAATACAAGAATATTATGAAAACATTACTACAGTTATTTTCCATGCATACACTGGGCTTACTTGTTGTTAATCCAGACTTCAGTGATGGCCCCAACCATACTCTGGTTGAGAGGGAGACCTTGTGGAAGTTGGATATCATGGGATGTACCCCCAAGGAACAGGTAGGGGTCCACAAAGTTAAATATGGGAGGGTTCAAAACCTGATCTCCAACGATTGTTACATTATCTATGGTCACTTTAGGGCTGAAACAAAAAATGGAATGAGTCAGCACCAGTCATAATTTATCCATTCAATATACAGTATTTACCAATTAATGGGCTATTCTATTTCTACAAAGACAAAATTACTTTACCAATTAATGGGCTATTCTATTTCTACAAAGACAAAATTACTTTACTTTAATTACTTAACAATTATATGTGATGTGTATTTAAATATTTTACATTCACAGCCCTAAATATTAAGAGAATTTCTTACTTCTCCGATGAGACATCTACTTTTGCAGTATGTTTCAACCCGTTGCTAAGATACATCCCTGATGTCATAAAGGGACCTTGCAGTGATTGGCCACCACGGTTATACTCAAAAAACAAGTTGCCATGGTACAGGCCAATAGACATCAGATAGTCCTAAAATATTGAAAATGAATTATTGAAGATAACAAGTGCAACTTATGTTGAGAAAAAATCATCAGAAAATTTCTTGTAAAGCAACATTTCTTTTTGGAAGAATACATTTAAATTACATAAATATAGTCTTTCAAGTGATTTTGAAATAAATAATTAAAAAGGTTCATTTAATTATTAAGTAGTATTGCTTTAAAGTTCAACATACTTGATTGTCTTTCTCTCTGGCAAACAACATCATGCTATTGGATTGCATTGTAGAGAATGTTATAGAAATACTGCTGGTAGTTATCATGGAGAACTGAGGCATTTGGAGTTCACTGTATGAGTCTGTTGCGCTGAACCCAAGTCCAGCAACCACCTGAAATATAGAAAAGGGTGAGTTCACTGTATGAGTCTGTAGCACTGAATCCAAGTCCAGCAACCACCCTAATATAGAAAATGGGTGAGATCACTGTATGAATCTGTTGCACTGAACCCAAGTCCAGCAACCACCTGAAATATAGAAAATGGGTGAGTTCACTGTATGAGTCTGTAGCACTGAATCCAAGTCCAGCAACCACCTGAAATATAGAAAAGGGTGAGTTCACTGTATGAGTCTGTAGCACTGAATCCAAGTCCAGCAACCACCCTAATATAGAAAATGGGTGAGTTCACTGTATGAATCTGTTGCACTGAACCCAAGTCCAGCAACCACCTGAAATATAGAAAATGGGTGAGTTCACTGTATGAATCTGTTGCACTGAATCCAAGTCCAGCAACCACCTGAAATATAGAAAATGGGTGAGTTCACTGTATGAATCTGTTGCGCTGAATCCAAGTCCAGCAACCACTGGAAATATAGAAAATGGGTGAGTTCACTGTATGAATCTGTAGCACTGAATCCAAGTCCAGCAACCACCTGAAATATAGAAAATGGGTGAGTTCACTGTATGAGTCTGTAGCACTGAATCCAAGTCCAGCAACCACTGGAAATATAGAAAATGGGTGAGTTCACTGTATGAATCTGTAGCACTGAATCCAAGTCCAGCAACCACCTGAAATATAGAAAATGGGTGAGTTCACTGTATGAATCTGTTGCGCTGAACCCAAGTCCAGCAACCACCTGAAATATAGAAAATGGGTGAGTTCACTGTATGAGTCTGTTGCACTGAACCCAAGTCCAGCAACCACCTGAAATATAGAAAATGGGTGAGTTCACTGTATGAATCTGTTGCACTGAATCCAAGTCCAGCAACCACCTGAAATATAGAAAATGGGTGAGTTCACTGTATGAATCTGTTGCGCTGAATCCAAGTCCAGCAACCACCTGAAATATAGAAAAGGGTGAGTTCACTGTATGAGTCTGTTGCGCTGAACCCAAGTCCAGCAACCACCTGAAATATAGAAAAGGGTGAGTTCACTGTATGAGTCTGTTGCGCTTAACCCAAGTCCAGCAACCACCTGAAATATAGAAAAGGGTGAGTTCACTGTATGAGTCTGTTGCGCTGAACCCAAGTCCAGCAACCACCTGAAATATAGAAAAGGGTGAATTCACTGTATGAGTCTGTTGCGCTTAACCCAAGTCCAGCAACCACCTGAAATATAGAAAATGGGTGAGTTCACTGTATGAATCTGTTGCACTGAAGCCAAGTCCAGCAACCACCTGAAATATAGAAAATGGGTGAGTTCACTGTATGAATCTGTTGCACTGAATCCAAGTCCAGCAACCACCTGAAATATAGAAAATGGGTGAGTTCACTGTATGAATCTGTTGCGCTGAATCCAAGTCCAGCAACCACCTGAAATATAGAAAAGGGTGAGTTCACTGTATGAGTCTGTTGCGCTGAACCCAAGTCCAGCAACCACCTGAAATATAGAAAACGGTTGAGTTCACTGCATGAATCTGTTGCACTGAACCCAAGTCCAGCAACCACCTGAAATATAGAAAATGGGTGAGTTCACTGTATGAATCTGTTGCACTGAATCCAAGTCCAGCAACCACCTGAAATATAGAAAAGGGTGAGTTCACTGCATGAATCTGTTGCACTGAACCCAAGTCCAGCAACAACCTGAAATATAGAAAATGGGTGAGTTCACTGTACAAGTCAGTTGAGCTGAATCCAAGTCCAGCAACCACTGGAAATATAGAAAATGGGTGAGTTCACTGTATGAGTCTGTTGCGCTGAATCCAAGTCCAGCAACCACTGGAAATATAGAAAATGGGTGAGTTCACTGTATGAGTCTGTTGCGCTGAATCCAAGTCCAGCAACCACTGGAAATATAGAAAATGGGTGAGTTCACTGTATGAGTCTGTTGCGCTGAATCCAAGTCCAGCAACCACTGGAAATATAGAAAATGGGTGAGTTCACTGTATGAGTCTGTTGCGCTGAATCCAAGTCCAGCAACCACTGGAAATATAGAAAATGGGTGAGTTCACTGTATGAATCTGTTGCGCTTAACCCAAGTTCAGCAACCACCTGAAATATAGAAAATGGGTGAGTTCACTGTATGAATCTGTTGCGCTGAACCCAAGTCCAGCAACCACCTAAAATATAGAAAATGGGTGAGATCACTGTATGAGTCTGTTGCGCTGAATCCAAGTCCAGCAACCACTGGAAATATAGAAAACGGTTGAGTTCACTGTATGAATCTGTAGCACTGAATCCAAGTCCAGCAACCACCTAAAATATAGAAAATGGGTGAGATCACTGTATGAGTCTGTTCCGCTGAATCCAAGTCCAGCAACCACCTGAAATATAGAAAATGGGTGAGTTCACTGTATGAATCTGTTGCGCTGAATCCAAGTCCAGCAACCACTGGAAATATAGAAAACGGTTGAGTTCACTGTATGAATCTGTAGCACTGAATCCAAGTCCAGCAACCACCTAAAATATAGAAAATGGGTGAGATCACTGTATGAGTCTGTTGCGCTGAATCCAAGTCCAGCAACTACCTGAAATATAGAAAATGGGTGAGTTCACTGTATGAGTCTGTTGCGCTGAATCCAAGTCCAGCAACCACCTGAAATATAGAAAACGGTTGAGTTCACTGTATGAATCTGTTGCACTGAATCCAAGTCCAGTAACCACCTGAAATATAGAAAAGGGTGAGTTCACTGTATGAGTCTGTTGCGCTTAACCCAAGTCCAGCAACCACCTGAAATATAGAAAATGGGTGAGTTCACTGTATGAATCTGTTGCACTGAATCCAAGTCCAGCAACCACCTGAAATATAGAAAATGGGTGAGTTCACTGTATGAGTCTGTAGCACTGAATCCAAGTCCAGCAACCACCTGAAATATAGAAAAGGGTGAGTTCACTGTATGAGTCTGTAGCACTGAATCCAAGTCCAGCAACCACCTAAAATATAGAAAATGGGTGAGTTCACTGTATGAATGTGTTGCGCTGAATCCAAGTCCAGCAACCACCTGAAATATAGAAAATGGGTGAGTTCACTGTATGAGTCTGTTGCGCTGAACCCAAGTCCAGCAACCACCTGAAATATAGAAAACGGTTGAGTTCACTGCATGAATCTGTTGCACTGAACCCAAGTCCAGCAACCACCTGAAATATAGAAAAGGGTGAGTTCACTGTATGAATCTGTAGCACTGAATCCAAGTCCAGCAACCACCCTAATATAGAAAATGGGTGAGTTCACTGTATGAATCTGTTGCACTGAACCCAAGTCCAGCAACCACCTGAAATATAGAAAATGGGTGAGTTCACTGTATGAATCTGTTGCACTGAATCCAAGTCCAGCAACCACCTGAAATATAGAAAATGGGTGAGTTCACTGTATGAATCTGTTGCGCTGAATCCAAGTCCAGCAACCACCTGAAATATAGAAAATGGGTGAGTTCACTGTATGAATCTGTTGCACTGAATCCAAGTCCAGCAACCACTGGAAATATAGAAAATGGGTGAGTTCACTGTATGAGTCTGTTGCACTGAATCCAAGTCCAGCAACAACCTGAAATATAGAAAATGGGTGAGTTCACTGTATGAATCTGTTGCGCTGAATCCAAGTCCAGCAACCACCTGAAATATAGAAAATGGGTGAGTTCACTGTATGAATCTGTTGCACTGAACCCAAGTCCAGTAACCACCTGAAATATAGAAAAGGGTGAGTTCACTGTATGAGTCTGTTGCGCTGAACCCAAGTCCAGCAACTACCTGAAATATAGAAAATGGGTGAGTTCACTGTATGAGTCTGTAGCACTGAATCCAAGTCCAGCAACCACCTGAAATATAGAAAATGGGTGAGTTCACTGTATGAGTCTGTTGCGCTGAATCCAAGTCCAGCAACTACCTGAAATATAGAAAATGGGTGAGTTCACTGTATGAGTCTGTAGCACTGAATCAAAGTCCAGCAACTACCTGAAATATAGAAAATGGGTGAGTTCACTGTATGAGTCTGTAGCACTGAATCCAAGTCCAGCAACCACCTGAAATATAGAAAATGGGTGAGTTCACTGTATGAGTCTGTTGCGCTGAATCCAAGTCCAGCAACTACCTGAAATATAGAAAATGGGTGAGTTCACTGTATGAGTCTGTAGCACTGAATCAAAGTCCAGCAACCACCTGAAATATAGAAAATGGGTGAGTTCACTGTATGAATGTGTTGCGCTGAATCCAAGTTCAGCAACCACCTGAAATATAGAAAATGGGTGAGATCACTGTATGAAGCTGTTGCACTGAATCCAAGTCCAGCAACCACCTGAAATATAGAAAATGGGTGAGCTCATTCTCCAACCACAGGGTTACAAGATCCAGAATATTTTCTTTATGAATGAATTCTGTAGTTCTGTGCTCAGAGGTTTGTGTGAGACATGTGACCCCTTGTTTTCAAAGGAGAGATTGATGACATGTAGAAATAGGCGAGGGGGGAATACAAATGAATGCTGTAAAATCTTAACCTATTGAACCCATGAATGTAACTCTCAAGGGTGAGATGTAGTTGAAGGGGGATAAGTATGAAGTAGTCCTTCCTGGAGAGCAGCAATGAAGAGCAATCCTTCTTCATTGCTACTGACCCTTGATTCTAGATTTAAACTTTCAGTTCTCTGAGATCCTGCAATCCCTTGTGTTTTTTCTGACAGTCATATCATCAATACATCCCTTTGACATAATGACATCTATTCTAAATAGTTGAAAGTTAGCAGAATAACACTGAGCAAATTGCTTTGAGACTGTCCCTGTTTACCCACCTCTGGGAGACACCCTGTAGTGGAGACACCCTTCATCTCAAGGCCACTGTCTTTCAGGTCATGTGATGTCAGCACCATCTCACTGCCCAAGCTGTGCTCAAAGTTGCGTATACAGCCAGCAAAACCCATTGATAGAAGATCCTTACTACAATGTACAAAACTCAACAACTTGAAGTTTGCCTTTAATGAAGCCAAGATAGATCAAAGTTTCAAATAATTTGCAGGGCAACAGGGCATTGGCAGAATATGAGTCATTCCCACTTGAAGGGGTTTCAATTTGGTTCTTAAAAGGCTCAAATACGTCTTTAAAAATAGAGAAAAGATATACACAATTATTAAAATCTACATCATCTTCTCACTATAAACTGACAAAGCATGGTCGCCCGCCTCTCTGTCTCTCTGTGTGTCTATCCGGACCCATTTAGAACGGTAGATTGCTAGTTCTGTACAGTATTTTAAAAACTTATTTGTAAAATTTCAATTCAAATTTATTTTGTAACTTCACATATAAACTGACAAAAACATAGGAAAGAATAATTATAGAAAAGTATATGGCAGCTGACTCACCCAGTGTTTACATCTGGATTATAACCACCAATCACAACCTCAGCATTTATCAGGGCAGTCAAATCAATGAATGGCAAGGTAACACTAGACTCCTCTATTTGCAACATTGCACCAATAGGGGGCACTTGCATCAGGGTCATACTCTGGGCACCAGAGGTGATGAATACAGTTACCTAGCAACAGATAAAATGAGTCATATAACATAAAAATGAGTCATAAAGCAACAGAATACCATGGGCTTTCAAGAGTCTGTTGAACGCCCATGAGAATACAAAACATAGCAACAAATATTCTTATATTCTTACAGAGCACAGAAATATAGACATCTAGGCCTATATTAACAAGGGTACAATAAAAAGACAATGTATGCTGTAAGAAATTTTAATCACAGTTTTACGAGGGTGCTGTAATATAATATGTGCTTTACAAACCTTGTACCATGTTCCATCATTCACTGGGTGTGTCAGAGTGATTGTGTTGTGATTGGCTGATGTCCCATACTCAAACTCCAGTGAACCATCCCTTATATACAGCCCATAATACTCAGCTATTCCTTGTTTATTAGCCAATAGAATCACTGCATACTTGTTGAACGTACGGAAATGTAGCGTGAACGTTGATTGATAAATCACAGCAAAATTAAATGGATTGATTTTCATGTAGCCGAATCCATCAAAGCTGACACCTGTTGTCAGGGTAACAGGGGTGTTGGCAGGGGGACGGGCACAGCAACCAGCACGACCTTGCTCTATTTGATCTTGCCATATCTGTATAGGTTGGTTATCAAATCTGACATTGTAGAGACAACCTTGGAAGTTGCCACTGCTCACTTTGTTTGTCTGAAAAGCCAAACTACAGTATTAAAGTGGCACCAAAGAATACAGGGTGTAATACAGGGTGTAAATGTTAGAAACAGTATTTTCAATAAACACTGCAATGTGTTCCTCATATTACAACTTAAATCTAATCTCTAAAAAAAAGATTTTGAGACAGATGATTTGATATGCTTTGAAGATGTAAGATACATACTTGTAGAAATACTTCATTTCAATAGAAAAGAAAGACTTGGAAAGTCCATTGCCAGTTAGCTTTAAAATTCAAGGCATTTTTATGAAATAATGTCAAAATTCCTGTTAACTCTTTTAGTACATGTAATTTTGATATATTTTATGTTTCAAACAACATTCTACTTGTAAACTTCATAAAAATGCTGACCAATGTATTATAAAATGGATATTATTACCAAATGGATTATAAAAGCTTTGAATACCTTGAAATATACCTTGAAACAACACATTTGACATCACACTTTTATATCTGACAAACAGCCAGTCAATTGTGATTTATAAGAAAATGAAAAAAAAAACCATTTCATTGTGCAAACTCATTTTAGACTCAGACCATCATGCATGGTTCAATATAATCATTCTGATTTGTACACCTAACATGTATGAATGGTGACTTTTGCATCACATAATTTTGCTGTATGTACAGGGAACAGTTCTCAGCACAGCCCTGAACTTAATTTTTGAGGAAAAGTCATCATTAGATCACAATGTTCCGTTTATTCAAAATTTATTGAAATGGAGGCTGAAGATTTGAACTATTAACGAGGAAATGTCAGCCATAGATTAAGATTGAGATAGCAAACTACAGCACTTGTTGAATAATTAATTCAAAGTAACATACTAGATAACGGCAACTCCGCGGAGTAGCAAATCCCAATGAACAAAATATCAATTACCGAATTCCAATCAATTATATTCATTATACTCTGGTTAAAATTGAAAAATTTAGATTTTGGAATTGCGAATTCCTGCAAAGCAGCCATTTTGAATTTTCTGAGGTAAAAATCTGAAAAATAATACCATAATTGTGATCTACTCCAAAATTCCTTCAATTTGAGTATTATATAGCCATACTTTGAAGGGATCGAAAAATTATTGCGAAATCGTACATTAGACAGCCATTTTGAATTTTACGAAGCTTGAATCAGAAAAAAGATACAATATTTGAGTAAAATAAAGCTATACTTCAGAAAGATCTAAAAATAAGCGAAAATTTCTGTTTTCCTGACCCCCATACACGGCCCCTGGGGGTCAGGATGAAAAACACGGAATATATGTGAAATAGATAGATGTTGCGAATATACTTTTTTTTTTTGCGTACAACTATTCATCAATATACATCTCTCCACCAAATATGAAGAAAATCCGTCAACTAATATTTGAGTTATCTTCCGGACGGACGGACGGACTGACTGACTGACGGACTGACAGACTGACGGACGGACGGACGGACGGACGGACGGAGGGCTTCACTATATCCCTACCGAACTTACGCACATAGTCCACTGACTTCTGTATAAATTACACTCTCTCTAGTGAACACCTTCCTACAGTGAACGTTTTTTCTTGGCAAAAAAATGTTCACTATGCACAAGTTTTACTGTATATGCTATTTTGTTCAAACAAGCTTCGGAAAGATATTTTATTTCATTCTCAAGAAATGGTAACAAGAACACAAATGTGTACAAAATGTCCCCACCTATAGGTGATCCCGTCAAATAGTTATCCTAAAAATGAGTAGACAAGACTTTACCGACACAATCTGAGGACGGAAAATCCAAAATGGCCACCTTAAAATTTACCCAGAATGCAAAAAAATTAGTCAGTTCTAGATTTTCATACTAAGAACCACCCGTGAAATTGATCCGTCACACAGTTAACCAGAAAACATGTAAACAAGACTTTACAGACAAGATTTTAGGACGGCAAATCCAAAATGGCTGCCTTGACATTTATCCAGAATGCCAAAAAACTAATCTGTTCCAGATTTTCATACTTAGAATCATCCCTGAAAATTTGAAATTGATTTACCAAATGTAGCCTTGCACAAGTCGGTATTTTTTTACTTATTTGATCTTGAATTATTACCGCCTTGTACAATCCAATACATCTCAGCTGATATTATGCTAAGTTATTCAGCGGTTTCGAGATTTCCATAATACCTACGCTGTCAGGGGTATCGCGAAACCTTATTGATTGACAAGATCGCATGGACCGACTTGGGCAAGGCTATACCAAACGGTTCACCTGGAAATGCGTAGACGAGATTTTACAGACAAGATTTTAGGACAGAAAATCCAAAATGGCTGCCTTGACATTTACCCAGAATGCCAAAAACCTAATCAGATCTAGATTTTCATACTAAGAATCATCCCTGAAAATTTGTAATTGATCTACCAAACGGTTCACCTAAAAACGCATAGACAAGACTTTACGGGGAAGATTTTAAGACAGAAAATCCAAAATAGCTGCCTTGACATTTATCCAGAATGCCAAAAACTAATCAGATCTAGATATTCATACTAAGAATCATCCCTGAAAATTTGAAATTGATCTACCAAACGGTTCACCTGGAAATGCATAGACAAGACTTTACAGACAAGATTTTAGGATGGAAAATCCAAAATGGCTGCCTTGCATTTACCCAGAATGCCCAATAACTAATCAGATCTAGATTTTCATACTAAGAATCATCCCTGAAAATTAAAATTGATCTACCAAACAGTTCACCTGAGACGCGTAGACAAGACTTTACAGACAATATTTTAGGATGGAAAATTCCAAAATGGCCGACAATATATATAACTTTTATTGACATATTGTATCATAACATGATTACATTAGTCATAAACTACTCACTAAAACTACTATCTACTACTAAACTACTTACTAAAACTACATCTTTATAAAAATATACATGATTTGATATATTTACAGAAAGCATACAAGAAAGGCAAAATATTTTAAAGTGTGATGCACAAATTTTGCTGATTATTCTAAATTGTTAAATGAATGGTATATAAATTTACCAAGATGTCGTTGGAAGATGATATTATCATTAGAAATTATATTTATAAATATATCGTTACTATTCAAGTCAAATGTTGGTAATATTTCAGAAATTTTACTGAAAAATATTTGCCTGTGTTGAGAATGCTTTGTACAATTTATGATAAAATGAAATTCATCCTCCACACATTTACATATACAACCTTTCATTAACTGGTTTAGGTTTGGGTTTTATGTGTCTTCCAGATTCTATTTTTAGCCGATGTGAACTTAACCTAAATCTACCTATTGCTAATCTATATTTTTTATTATCTAGTTTTAAATATGGTTCTAATTCAAAATCTTTCTTAAATAGCTTATATGTTCTTAATATAGGATATTGTAAAATATCATTTCTCCAATTATTTATAAATGCATTCTCTAGTTTCTTGTCAACCAAGTTTACTAAGTTGTCTGTATTTTGACTTTGGTCATCCCAATACTCTGTTAGTTCACATTTGTGAAGAATATCATAAACTTTTCCAGACCATGATTTAAACCCTAATTCATGTTTTTCTTGACCATATAAATAAGCTTGATTTAAAATATTAGATTCTGGTAGTTTTATAAGTCTTAACCAGTATTTTATCAAAGATAATTCAATTTTGATAGATAAAGGAAATCTACCGAGGTCACCATATACTGCAGGATTAGCTGTTTGAGTTTTGACTCCTAGAATAGATTTTAAAAAGGACAAATGCAATGTTTCAATAGATTTCATCTGTTTCTTATCATACCAAATCTCACACCCATAACAAAGTATTGGACTGACTAATGAATCAAAAAGGTGAAGAGCAACATTGGGTGGTACATCATTGAATTTCTTATACTGTTGTTTGATTTTGAATATTGCCTTTCGTGATTGTTCTTTAAGATAAGCAGTGTTAATATCAAATTTATTGCTATCAGTAAGAATAACACCGAGATATTTATATTTATTTACACGTTCAATTTCTTGATTATTAAAAGTGAAAGGATCTGAATATTTAGAGTTAAAAATCAGGACCTTTGTTTTAAGGGTGTTGACTATAAGTCTATTAATTTTACAGAAAGCAAAAAGTGAATCTAATAACAACTGAAGTCCATTGTGTGATTCTGAAACAAGTACAAGATCATCTGCCCATAGTAGATGATTAAAATTGGCATCATTCAAAGTAACACCACATCTGGGTGGTAATATTTCATTTAAGTCATCTATGAAATGATTGAATAAAAATGTACTTAAAACACTTCCTTGTAAAACTCCTATTTCAGTGTCAAAAGTTTCCGTGACTCCATTTTCTAACTTGAGACATGACTTAGATTTAGAGTACATGCTCTCTATAATCTTGTACATTTTAGTCTGTGGATGAATTCCAGATTTACATAGTTTATATAACAGTACCGAGCGATCTATGTAATCAAACGCCTTCCTAAAGTCAATCATACATGTATACAATGGTTTCTTATGCTGCTTGAATTTGTTAATTAGTGTTCGCAAAATAAAAATATTATCAGTTGTACGCCTATTTTCTTTATAAGCACCCTGAAGTGGGTCTGGCGAATTTTGCACTTCAGCATTAAAGACAAGACGATTTTGTATAACTGAGTCAAATAAATTTCCTATACTTGTTTATAAAGTGCACTGAGCATACCAATGCTCCAGTCACTTGGATATTCTCCTTTTTCAAAAATAGCATTAAATAGTGATGTAAAATCAGAAATGAGAGATTTACAATTTTTAATAATATTAGATGGAATACCATCAATACCAGCTGATTTGTTTGTATTCACTCTTTTCAAAGCACGCTGGACTTCGGCTTGAGTAATTTTCATGTTGACAGTATCATGGCAAAGTTGTAAATTTTTATCTTCAGGGCAAACTTGATAATTTATTACATACTGATTCATTTCCTTGAGTGCATTGTCATCAAAATATTCTATATTTGGGGGTTAAGATAGAC